TGGTAGAGTTCACCATATGCTGGGTGTCTCCCACTGAAGCCAATAGAATGGCAAAGTGATAGTTAAACTCTGGAACTCACTCTCACAGGAGGCAGTGGTGACCACCAACTTGGATGGCTTTAAAAGAGGAATAGACAAATGCATGGAGTGGGCTCTCGATAGCTACTAGCCATGATGCTTATGCTCTGCCTCCACAGTCAGAGGCAGCAATATTCCTGGAAGCCATAGGAGGCCAGAGGGCTCTAGGGCTCTGGTCCTTCTCATGGGTTTCCCATAGGCATTTGGTTGGCCACTGTGAGAACAGGATGCTGGCCTAGATGGGCCACTGGCCTAATTCAGCAGCAAGGCTCTTCTTATGTGGCCAGCTTCAGCTGGACCATGCCCTATATTGTTTCTACTGAATTTCTAGAGTGCCCTGTCTTGAGAGCTAAAGGCAGAAAATCCTAACATGATGATAAAAATGTGTGAGTAAAATGCCTTGTAACACGAATGTGATATGATGAGTAAAATTGCACAATATAAAACATTGTACCGTTTCTTTTCTGCCTACCTTAATCTAAGCAACCATTTCTCCACCACCACCCGGAATTTTCACTTTCAGTGATTTAAAGAAATACAAAATACACAAGTACATATTCTACGGAATTTATTGCTCAGTTAATCACTTAGTACCTTCCCCCTTTCTTCTTCCTGTTGCAATAGATGCTTATTGTGGATTACTGAAATTATCATTAAAAAAACCAACTTGAGTGAATAGACATAATCATGTAGGGATGCTGATAGGTGGCACAGGGGGTACTAATGCACTGGGCCCTATAGCCAGCAGGAGCCCCAGAGCATTCATTAAAAAAAGTATGTGTCTAGCCCTTTTAGAAAAAATGTTTTGAAGCAAAATGTGCAGGTATCCTTATAAGTGATATCTGTGAGATGTTCCAGTCTGGCTGCTCCTGACTTTCAATGAGTAAAGTCAGAGCTGGAATTGATGAGTTAGTTGTTGGGACACCAGGCTATAGGACTCTAAAGAGCTGCTGTTTACCTTTAGTGTACTTTTCTTGTCCCCCCCCCCCTATATTCCAGTGCTCTTTCTTTTTTCCCTAGCAGCCAGCAATTTCCTGTGGTGGGCTTGTCTGAGATCAGATACTCCCTAGATGTTATTTTCTATAAATACTACTATACAATAACTGTGTGTGGATGTTAAACTCTGCCCCCAAACGACATGTAAGATGTGAAGCCTCTGCAACGAGGCATAGGCAGCAGAGCTGAAGACTTAAGAACTCACTAAGAATAAAATGTAACTTGCAGTACAGCACTGTTCATGTCTCCTGAAAGCCTCTTTGTGTTTAACTGAGCAAACCCACTGCTTAGCGGGTACAGTATTGCAGCCTAGGCTTTGGTGTAGGGTGGGCATTGGGAGAATTCAGTGTTCTTCTGCCTTTAACATTTGTGGGGTAGGCAAGTTAAACATTTTCTAGTATGGAAATACAATTATGGGAACAGCTTCACTTACGGGTATAGGGCGATACACAAATTTAATAAATAAATAAATATGGGTACACAAGGGAGTAATTTGTAAGAGAGCACAGTATGTGAAGTGATACAATGATTTTACCACTACACACTGGATGTTAAGGCAGGAAGTTACCTTAGTTCACAGTTTCTGTGCCTTGGGGACCATTAATTAATTTTGAATAGCCATATCTTGAACTGAAAGGATTTTTCGTATCCTGGAATTCTTCCTTTTCACCACAATAGGCTGCCTGGGTTAAATTTTAGTAGCAGCCTCTCGATACTGAGAGCGTTGCTGTATGGAAGGGGAACAAATCATTTTTCTATTTCCCTTTTGAGCAGTGATCAGCATTCTCCCTTTCAATTTTCACAGATCCATCAAGCTTGCAAGCCCATCTGCAGAAAATGCAAGCGTCACGTGACTGAGATGACGGGGCAAGTGGTCCAAGAAGGGACGAGGCGCTACAGACTTTGCAATGAGTGCCTCTCCGAAGCTGGCATAGACAGCATCCGCATTGATTTGGACACTGAGCCACCACCTGAGTTCCCGCTAGAAGAGGACAAGGATTCTAACTGGAATTACGGTGAAGACAACAGATCCGATGTGGAAATTGTAGAGGATGGGTCTACTGATTTGGTCATCCAGCAAGTGGACGATAGCGATGATGAAGCTGAGGAAAAAGATATAAAACCAAACATTAGGTAGTTATGAATGGACTGGATGTTAAATAAAAGTTCCCCCTTTACGTTGTCATTCCTTTGTTTTGACCATTGACTCCCAACCAGCCTGTGGTTAACATACAATCTATTATATAGGCTTTCTATGACTTGGGCTAAACTTGCATGCATTTATGGACATGCCATTGTGTCTATATTGAATTTAGTTACTCAAGGGTATCAATATTTTGTTCCATAAGCAAGCATACATCCTGAGATGGTACCATGTATGAACAATTACCTGCTGAAGTGCGACAGTGATAACTTTTGATAGAATAAAATGGATCTCTTCTAAAACCTTTTTCAATGTTGGGGAGCACTTCAAAATAAAGTTAACAGCTTCATTGTAAGTTACTCTATTAAAGCTTTTGACAGTGTGAGGGTTTTGTTTTTTAAAAACTGCAAGCATAACAAGGTGCAATGATAATTAATTTATATTTAAATATACACAGTCTCACACACACTGCAATCCTATGCATGTCTATTCAGAAGCAAGCAAGTTAAATGGAGCCTTTTCCTAGGTGAATGTACATAGAATGCATAGAACTGCAAATGTTGCTAGATCACCCAGCTATTTGAGTTGTTGCCTTGTTCTAACCTGGCACATCGCTCCCATCCCCCATTCTTCCAAAGGAAATTTAAGTGGAGAACAATGCATAATCCTTCTCCAAAATGCACAACTTCCTCGAAATGATTATTTACTGAGAAACATTAGGGTAATTCAGCCTTTCAGAACCAACTCTCTTGATTTCAACATCTTTGAAAAGCCATTTTTTTTATGTCTTGCAAGCAGCAGTCACTATTTTCAAATGCAGAACCAAAACATGTGGCAATTCAAATGTTTCTTTGAAGTTCTTTGTGCGTACCCATCTTTGCCCACCCATTTTTCAAACTGGATATTTTAAACCTGCGCTATCACTAAATTTGAAACGGGTACCAATGTTCTATCAATTCATCTCACAGTGTGACCCTTTTAAATAAATCGCTATAATTGGTTCATTTACAGAAGGGAGTCTTGAGTCAAAGGGTGCTTCCAGATGGGTGCTTGCTGTACTATGGGTGTTCCACATGCATTTCTTTTTATTTTTTTGCAGCATCCACATGCTGGCATCAAAATGCCAGCTATATTTTTTGCCATTTAGTTGTGATTTACCCTTTCTAGGAAAAATCAGGTAAGTTATTTTTAAAAAACACCACTGTTGCTAGTGCCATGTTTATGATATCTGAATAACCCATTTACAGCATTGCCTAGAAGCACCCTAAAGAAAGCATATTGAGTAAGCAACATGGTATTCCAGAATCAAGCTATAAGCAGGAGAATCTTCTGAACATATTTATTTTCCTCTTGAAATGCGGCTGCTGGGGGCTCTGATTCCTGTGCTGTATGACAGGGAAGCTCCTATAGCAGGCATAGGCAAACGGCCCGCTAGATGTTTTGGGACTACAACTCCCATCAGCTAACAGGACCAGTAGTCAGGGATGATGGGAGTTATAGTCCCCAAACATCTAGAGGGCCGAGTTTGCCTATGCCTGTCCTATAGCGTTCCCATTTGATGGTCAGGGAGGCTTGCAGCACCTATTCCAGACAGGCTTCCTTGGCGCACGTGCAGGCAGCCCCGAACAGCTGAAGTTGCAAGTGTGGAAGGGAGGAGAGGAGCTGAATTAGGCGTGGACTGTTTACGCTCCATTAATGAATTTATATACCTCGCCTTTCTGCAACAGCACACGAAAGGCGGAACGAAAAAGGTGCCGAATAAGAGATGAACGATGCACCCTCGAACCATGGCCGAATGCACCCTAAAAACAAAACCAACCAACGAAACAAAATGCAGTTGAAACCTAACAAGCCGCAGCTGTAAACGCAAGTAGCTCAATCCAAGACTGAGCATTTGGGGGGGGGAGGGTGTTTCTCCTCCAGCTTCTCTTTCTCTCCACAGCTTTAAATCCAACCTACCCCGCAACGGTGCTAGGGCAGGGAAGGCAGCCTGGTCCTTGGCTTCGTTTTCTCCGTAGCATCATGGGGGGGGGGTCGCGGGGGTCAGTAGGCGAGGCTGAAGCGCAGCCGGGAGAGGAGACTATGTCTTAAAGGGGCGCGTTGCCCCTTTAAACGCCGCCCCTGCACCTCTTTCTCCGACGCCCACACCCGCGTTGGGAGACACCCCCCACCACGACCCACGAAGAAAGAACAAGGCTCCCTGCTGCAAGCGATCGGCCCCTGTGAGGCTGGTGGCTGCAGTGTCCTGGTTTCTGACATTTCTCTCCCACGCTCCTTCCAGGGGGGGGGGCTTTCCTGGGTGTCTTCCAGCCACTGACCAGTCCAAAACCAGCTGAGCTTCTGCCACGCGTAGCGTCCCCGCGACTCAACCTCCCAGCCTGTGTCCACCCCAGGAAGGAATCGATCTCATTCTGAGCCCCTGGAGTTTGAGAACCCCCACGCACCGTTTCTCTTTCCTGCAAAAGGGACTGTCATTGGGTTCTTTGGCCGACAGCACCGGCGCCCTCGGAGGAGGCCCCGAGGGGAAGAGCGAAGAGCGTCTTTCCTACCAACCCTACCTGCCACTTGCCCTGTCGTGGCTGATTCTAGAGGACCCAGCTGTGTGGCTGGCAGCACCTAGTGTTGGTGATGGACCGGGACCATTACCCGGCCACCTGGCCTCCCTCCTCTCCCTCAAACACCCGGTAATTCAACATCTACTAGCCAGGATGGCTGCTGCCCATTGGGACCGGTAGGGCAGAAGGCAGGGAGCCCAACAGTAGGTGGCGCCAGAGCCAATGACAAGCAGAGCCAATTCATACTAGTTTTGTCTTTCTCCTCCTCCCTGCTGAGTTTTGCAAAGGCAGCACTCAGACTAAGGAGGGGGGGACTGGCTGGCAGTGCCCCCCTCTGGACTAGTTGTAAATAAGAAGGCAGAGATATGGGGCAGTGTCCCATCAGCCCCCTTGGGCCAGCCTCCACTAGACTGTGTACCTCCAATGTCAGAGGCTTAACACTGCAAAATAGGTCATTCAGATATCACAAAGGGGGCCATGGGCCACTTTTTTAAAAAACAAAAAAGAAACAATTTTTTTATTTTTTAAAACAGAAAAAACAACCATCGCCATCACTTAGCTCAAGTCTGCAATATAGTCCATACAAACAATGTCTGCATCAATTTAACACAAACACTTCAAAAGCCAGACTATACAATGTGTTGTCTATAATGTGGGGTGCCGATACAAAAACTCTCATCTGTAAGTCACATTACTGGCAAAAAGATGACAAAAAACTGCCCCACCTGCAATAATACATCTCTTCAGTATTGATTTCTACAGCCACAGCAGGCACTGCAACTCTCCAAGGGTTTGACTTTACCCCCAAAGGCACACTCCTCCATTGTTTCCCAGGAAAGAAGGGTGCCAACAATATGGTTGTCCTGACTCATGGACTACCTTCTCAGGGTCGCCAGGTGGCTTTTCAGCTTTGTGGGAGGGGCTACCAGGAACTGGGTGGCAGGGACTTACCAAGCTGCTTCTGCTTCTCTTCTCCTCCCCTTGAAGGGCAAGATGGTTCTCCAGGAGGGTTTTCCCTGCTGTGTGGCCTGGCGGCCAGGGGAGGCCAGGGCAAGGTCACCTGAGGAGGAGGACCAAGAAGAGCTTCCATGTGCGGTTGTTTGATGAATGCTGGTGAAAACTCACACCAAGTGCTTGCAGGATCAGCACCCTGGTGTATTGCTTTGCTGTTTCCCTGGCATCAGCCTACCTTCCCTGGTGTCATGGCAACCCTTGTGCCACACTGCAGAGTCATGTTCTCACCTGCAGAAAGGTCATTAAAGACCCGAGCGACAGAGGATCTCTGTCTTCCCTGCTGAATGGTTTCTTCCTGTGCCCTGACCTTCTTGCTTTGAGCTGAAAGGCCAGCTATGGTGGCTGGTCAGTTACTGTGGAAACTTTCAGGGTGTAGAGCTGGAACAGCCCTTTAAGAGGGAAGTCTTCTACTTGCCAGTTTAGTGTTGAGCAATAGGTATGAATTCCCAGGTGCAGCAGAACTACCACGTGGACTGTGAGGCTGCTGTTAACCACATGGTGAACCTGGAGCTCCATGCCAGTTACGTCTATCTTTCCATGGTACCTGCTTGCTTTTTCATCTCTCTTGCACTTTGAGGGAGCATCACCAGAGAGAAGCCCCTTTGCCTTATGCATGTCAAATGGCCTCGTGTGTGCCGTTGCAGGGGCTGAGAGTTGTGTCACCCAAGTCTGTTTTAAGTGAACATTTCATGGGGCTGGTGCCAAAAGCATCACTCAACAGTGGCTGGTGCTTGGTGGGGTGGAAAGCAGGGAGGTCAGCAGCAGGTGGCGCTAGAGCGAATGTCAAGCAAAGCCAACAAACTCTAGTTTTGTCCCTACCCTTCTCCTCCCTGTTGAATTCTACAAGGGCAAGAGTGAGACTAAGGAGGAGGAGGAGGAAGCTGGCAAGCAGTGTCACACCCTGGACTGGTCAGAAGCCAAGAAGGTGTGGGTAGTCTGAGAGCAGACCGAAGTTGGTGTGGCAGTGCTGCATTCACCCCCATGGACCAGACTCCACTGGCATGACAGCTGGTTGGATCTGGTCACACAGGAAGGCACAGAAGAGAGCCTGCAGACAGGCAGTGATTACCTGGAGCAACAAAGATATCTGAAATCAGGGCCACTGTAGTCATCATGCAGCTACCCTCTCACTGGCATTGACTGTAAGCACATGGTGGCTGGGGGCATGTTGAGTGGGGGGGGGGTCCAGCAAGAGTTGCGGAATCTCCTCAACCCTGGTGTTGGCCCTGCTTGAAATCCAAACACTGTTTCTCTCATGAATCATATTTGCAACTCCCAACATTTTAAGCAAAGCTACTGTTGGTCCCCGGTATGGCAATTAGTGTCCCCTATTTCCTGTCACAGGTCAGGTCAAAGTGTAAAGGCTGAGGCATTTTCCTGGGCTGCTTTAGCATAACAGCCTTGTTAACAACAAGGTGCATCATAATAAAGACTGAACAGTTTTGCCAATATTGACATTGATTTATAATTCTTAAGATTTTAAGAAACCGGCTGGAATTGTCAGAAAATTCTAACACTTGCCAATGGAGTGTTCTCAGTGAATGGTCAAATTTCATGCTCCCTTCCATGTTTTAGCAGCAAAGAATTAAGAAAGCGGCCAGGCACCTTTGCCTAAACCTAATCCACAGATGGTTGAAACAGCAGCTAAATTGCTGTGTAGTCCGCTTAATTGTTGACTGGACTTTTCTGTTTTTCTCCCCCTCCCTGACCTCAGTCCTACTACTTCAGCCGTGATGATGTTGCCCTCAAGCATGTAGCTACATTCTTGAAAGAGGAATCACTCAAGAAGAGGGGATATGCAGAGATGTTTTTGAAATACCAGAACAAGCGAGGGGGGTGCATCATTCTTCAAGACATTCAGGTGTGTGGTGTCTGCTTTCTTGATTAAAGTGGCCAGCAATTGAGGCAAACTAGTCCATTCCCTGTGGTGCCACAATCAGGGCATCAGCCTCTGTTTGGTTTACCAGTGTCAGGATGTCTATCTATATGCTTGTATCTTTTATTTTATTTTGCTTTTTAAAATTAAAAAAAATAGTCTTTTCACATGGAATAAACATACTTTAAAATACAATAAACTCAAACAGTATCAGCAAATCTCGTTCCTTGGAAAAAGGTGTAACAGCAGCTTGAAGCTGGAACCACTACTTAGAACCCATTCATAATGTATTTTAAAGACTCTAATCCACTAGGCCTTTCCAGATGTTTCTGTGAGGCTGGGCAGGTTGTCTTGACTGATGGTTACATCTCAAATGGGAGATGGATAGATTCTATATGTTGTAGAAGGATGAGGAACTTATCTTGCCTTTGTCCTGGTTACAGACTACACCTGAGCACATACCATGAGTCTATTGTCAGGCCTGTTGCAGAGCACCAAAATTTAGCTATTTCTAAATGAGTGGCTACCAGCAACAGTGCCAACATCGCCCAATGAGATAAATGTTGATTTGATTAATTTATTATTCCTAGCAAGGCTAACAAAGGCGTTGGATTTATACTACAGATTAATCTGATTTCTTCAAAGACTGCTGACCAAAAGCAGAACACCTTGTCACGGCACCACCAAAGATGGATGATGTCTATCTATATGCTTGTTGATACTCCCAAAGAACTCTGATAGGAAATTAGGGCAAGGCCTGTCTTGCTAACCCAATTCTTCTTCGGCCTCTCCTTAACAGAAGCCGGAGCAGGATGAGTGGCAGTCCAGCCTTGAAGCCTTCCAGAGTGCCCTGCGGCTGGAAGGAAAGGTGAACCAAGGTCTCCTGGACTTACACAAGCTGGCTCTGGAGAAGGAGGATCCTCATGTATGTCACCTGTGGTTAGTGAGCAAAATTAAAATTAAAAAATGGGTAGACATTTGGGGAGAATGGAGGACCCTGAAAAGGCACTGAAAAGCTCATTCTAGTCACCTGGTGCCCTCTGGATTTTTTGAGTACAACTTCCACCAGCCTCCAGCCAGCATTGCCATGCAAGTCTGGGCTGATGGGAGTTGCAGCCGAAACCAACTGGAGGGCACCGGGTGGGGGAAGGCTACACTAGAATCTCTAAACAAAACATGTAGACCAGGAGCTGGCCCAACATTCATAGACAGGCAGCCCCCTTGAAAAGACCATTTCATATTCTCAAATATTGGCTTGAGCCAATGACAGCTCAGGCAGAAGCGTTTCCCAGCCACACTATGATAATACACAAGGTCACTTTCATGAGTGAACTTGGGCCCTGGGCCCTTGAGCCTTTTAAAGCAGGTGCTTCACCCCTGAGCTATGAGCCCTCTGCTCACAGCGCTCATCTTATCTAGTATCAAAGCCTTTGAGCATTCAAAATCTCCTTTTTTTTCTGAGCTAGTAGATCCCAGATGTGATGAGGATGATCTGGGTTGGGACTTACCACCAGTGACTGTTTCAAAAGAAAAAGGAAGCGCAAGCCCTGAGCAATTCTTCTCCCTCCCTTGCTTGCCTTCTCTGTGCAGCTGTGTCACTTTCTAAAGTCTCAGTTTTTGGAGGAACAAGTGAAGGCCATCAAGCAGTTGGCAGACCATCTATCTAACTTGAGGCGCCTGGGAGTGCCCCAGGATGGTTTGGGAGAGCACCTCTTTAACAAGCTCACCCTGGGGGCGTGCAGCTGAAATGGCAAAGGACATGCCCCAAATCAGCGGCTATTTGTTATACACGATGCCCTTGCAATAAAACATGGATGTCAGTTGAACCCAATCAGAAAGGTGTGTGTGTGTGATTTTGTGGGGGGGGGTATGTGGGACCTGCAAGATAATGTTGCAGCACAGAGTGCTCTTTTTCAGGAGCCCAGCTAGCCATGTAACCATTATTTATTAATTATTATTATTATTAATTACCGGTAAATTTATATTCCACCCTATACCTGCAGGTCTCTTGTTGGAAGTTTCTATTCATTACTTCTAATGCAATAATATTGCCAAACAATAAAACTACTGTATGCACACAAGTGTGAACTTACGTTTTGTAAAATGGATTTTATTTTTACATGTTTTTTAAAAATAGTCTTTTAAATTAAAACCAAGATTCTCCTTTTTCTGTCATTTACGTAAATAGATGGGTGCCTACTCCAATCAATACACCAATAACCTCACACAATTGTAGAGCTAAGTGGAACACATCAAAACTGAAATCACACACAAATTAACACAGAGTACCACTCTGTCTACACCTCTTATGATGTCTTCTCTTCTTATATGCAGCCCATCAGCCGTTTTGAACTACAAGGCCTATCAGCCTCAGCCTGCAAAGCCATGCTAGCTGAGACTGATGGACATTGACGAAGGCTGCCTTCTAGAAATATTTTGTACCCTCTCCTGACAAAAAATGCTGGATTTGTATCATGGTGCAAAGGGATGGCCCAGTGTAAGACACCTGCCACCAAGATATGCTCCTCTGCAAGCCCCATGAAACAAATGCTGCTTATAAAAGACTGGGACCCGTTGTTTCAATCACAAGTTGTGTGTGTTAAGTCTGCAATTCAAGTTATGTGTGTATGTTCATATAGATTGTCAAAAACAAATGCTGCTCCTCGGGAGTGGGGGGCAATTGTTTGTGTGCTCTGTTCCTTTCCTTTCCTCTTTCCTTTCAGTGGAGACATAATAGCTCTGATCTTTAACTGTGGTTAAGGCATTGGGAGTGTGGCATTGACTGCGAAGCTCCCTTTTCCCCAGCATGCATGAATTCCCTTCTCCATTCCATGGTTTAGTTTAACCAGCAGCAGTTGGTGAGGCAGTGCAGGTGGGGTATCTTGGTTCTCCTGGCCTGCCAACACTGCAGGTCGCTGAGGAGAGGGGAGGACTGAGGTAGGGAGCTTGGATCCACTGCCATGTGCCACACCAGCCCAATCTCCCCACACCTCACCCTCTGATAAGCACCAGCAACCTGCTGTTAGGAAGCCAGCCAAGCAAACGTGCCTCATCAGCCACTACAGCTCTAACCATGGTGTAGTGCAGGCACCCCCAAACTCTGCCCTCCAGATGTTTTGGGACTGCAACTCCCATCATCCCTAGCTAACAGGGCCAGTGGTCAGGGATGATGGAAACTGTAGTCCCAAAACATCTGGAGGGCCAAGTTTGGGGATGCCTGGTGTAGTGTAATGTCTGAAGCAGCATTAATCAGGAACGCTAACCAGGATTTTCTTTGTAACTATGTTCTGGAACAACCTATCTGCTAGGGAAAACCATAGTGTTGTTGGTGGGAACTAACACATGAACAGGAGAAGAGGAAGCCTGGGAGGCAGGCTTCTGTCATCTCCTAACCGTGGCTGAAGGTGACTGGGAACATTATGACGGCATCAGACTACTGTTTCAAATGGCTTTGTAAGGGGAGAGGATTTAGGCTAATTTCCTGGCAACTTCTCACTGGAGGAAAGCAGCATTTTATGATGGGTATTTCACAATGGGCTATAAATGACAAAAGAAGCAATAGAAGAGGTAGTATTATTAAGACAGAAGAGAGTGAATAGTCTTAAATCCCTGCATTTCCTTTCACTAAAGAATATTAGTCTCCCACCAGAGTAGAGCTGGACATTACTCGGGAGTCTTCTATTCAAGCTGCTACATCCAACCTGATGCTCCTCACCACTTTGGTTCATTTAGCCCTCTGCCGATTCATTTCCAGGAGGACAAACACTTCAATTAGGATGTACAGCACTTCTGGTAGATAAACCAGGGTGAAGCAGTTTTTTGTGGTACTTTGTTTAGATATCAATAATGACAAAGACCTCGGGTGTTTCATCCTCATGAATCTGCATTGCTGAATAGGTTATAGCTTTGACCTCTGTGCCCTGCGAGGGAAGAAAAAAGACAATTTGAGTCTATGAGCTCAGCTGCACAATGATAGGCAGAATCTCTGGTAGGTCTAAGAATGCATGAATGGAAGGGGTGATTTGTTAGTTAAGCCTGATTTATTTCTGGGCCTCTAGTACTCAGGAAGGAAAACGACAACATTCATAACATACCTGGGGATGCTTGGGCAAAGAGAACTCTTCTCCCCACCTTAAAGAGGGAAAAAGGGTAACGATTATTACAAGGTTACTGAATTATGTCACAGTGCAGGAAACCCCTCTGGTCATTTTACGAAAGACATGTGGAACAATGATGAATGTTTAGGAAAAGAGGAGGCCATTTTGACACTCCTAGCAGCCAGAATGATTTCCCACCCAAGAACCTAGAGAGCTATGGCATACAAGGCTCTCTACTCCAGTTCCCAAATGGCCCATACCCAGGAGACAGTGCAGGGATCCATTGGAGGAACACTGTCCCACATGCTGAAGTGTGAATCAGGAATTAAGAAGGCCAAGACAGCTCCTGGCATCTTCAAAGGCCTCCATTTCTTCTTCAGAACCAGGGATTAGTTTGAGCCCTTACAGCAAAGCAACATTGCCAAAGCGGAAACATGCATTCTCTTTAAAGAAAGCAAACTCTTCGCTGTCCCCATCCAGGAAGGATCCTGGAGGAGCCCATGGTGAGAGTCAGTGGGGAACTAAAAAGGCTCCTGGCACATCCAAAAGGACACCTGGTACACTCTCTATGGAAACCTTCACACAGAGCCATCATGTCTTGACTCCCTGGCATTTCCATCAGCATTTTTAAATGGCATGATTCCACTTAACTCACCCAATAGATCTTATTCTGAATCTTATTCGGTCAATGTGGAGCACTTTAACTTCCTACAAAATGGGGGAGGGGAACAAACATATAATTAGTTGATTTCAAACAATTTAAATCTTTCACATAGCTCTAGTAATAACTGGAAAAGGTACCAGGTATTTCAGTTCCTTGCAGAAGAATAAATCCTAACCATCCACACAATCTCAAGGCATATGAAAAGCAATACATTTCAGAAGTCAAAGGAGCTTCTCTTTCAGTCTGTATAACAATTTCTCCCCATTCTTTCTCCCCATTCTAGCATCTTCAACTTCTCTTATAATCTAACTAGTTTTGCAAAGAATTTCCAGAACCTCAATCTATAAACTGTAAGCAAATTGCAGAGAAGTTCACCACCCGCTACTCTGAGGAACATCATTATCCCCCCTTTTCTGTTGTTGATTATCAAGCCTGGAGAAGACTTCTGTGAAAGTTGAATGCTGGCTCCCTGCTTTATGATTACAGTTGATGCTAATAAGGACAGTACAATAATGTTCCTCTTTAGATTTTTTCCTTAGCTCCTTAGTTTCTTGATGCTACCTCAGAAATTAATGGATTCAGGCAGAATGGATTCAATACCTTGGCAATGCAACAACATGTGACCAAACTGTGACACTGTGCAGAACACATTCCAATAATTGAGAAATATCTTAAGACTGTAAGGAGGAAGAGAGCAAACACTCACCCTGGGAATGAAAAACTCATTGGCGCTGAATTTATAAAGCCACTCATCCAGAAAGTGGAAGAGAAGAGACAGCATGTCATGTCCTGTTGGAGAGAAGCGGGGGGGGGGGGGCGACATATTGGGAGCTTTAAGGTGCAGGACTCCCTCCAAGCCAGTATGTGTAGCAAGCCTTCCTAATGACAGACAGATGTCAGTGTAGGCTCAAACTCCCACTCAATTCCCCTTGCACTACAGATCATGGCTCAGAAAGAGGTCAGAGAGCCAGCCCTTGCGTGGGGACCAATAGGACACCTCACGAACCATGGATCGTATCTTTAGGCATCAGGCAAAAATGTTTTTCTCTAACCAGGCCTTCAGCTTGGGCCAATTAACATTCTGTGTCTTTTTTAATGTGTTTGTGGAAGGGGCGCGTGTGCTTTTGGTTTGCTTTTGTTTTTATTATGTATTTTGTGTTCTCATTTTGTATTTTTATGCAGTGAACTGCCCTGTGATCTTCGGATGAAGGGTGGTACACAAATTTAATTAAATTTTTTTAAAAAAATGTCATGGTTTTTTGTTGTTGCTCTGCTTGCCTCTGAGACTGAACATCATCTGGATAGCTCAGTTAGTTAAAGTGTGGTGCTGAGAATGCCAAGGCTGGGAAACTTCTGGCATGGCAATTGAAAAAGAGGCAGAAATTGAACACTGTGACAAGTCTAGAAATGGATGGAAAGATTATCCACAAACCTAATGAAATAAGTAATTGTTTTCAAAGTTTCTTTAAGAAATTGTATGTACAAGGGCCAGTTAACGAACAAGAAATAGAAGAATTTATCAAAAAATATGGACTACCAAAAATTTCAGAACAAAGTAAAATGATCCTGAATGAGAGAGTAACAGAACAAGAAATAGAGGGTGTCATTCAGAATATGCAGTTGGGAAAATCACCAGGACCAGATGGTTTGACTGCCAGATACTACAAAGCGCTGAAGGAATGGTTAATACAACCATTGAAGGAAGTTTGCAACGAAATTTTGGAGGGGAAAAAGGCACCTGAATCGTGGAAAGAGGCTTTCATCTCACTTATACCGAAAACAGAGACTGAAAAGAACCAGGTTAAAAACTACCGCCCTATATCTTTACTTAATGTGGATTATAAAATTTTTGCAGACATTTTGGCAAAAAGACTGAAGAGAGTGTTGGTAGGGGAGATTCATAAGGACCAAACTGGCTTTCTTCCAGGGAGACATATGTCAGATAATGTGAGGAACATTATAGACATTTTGGAACTGTTAGAAGTGGACATTAATAGGAAAGCTGTTTTAATTTTTGTGGACGCGGAGAAAGCCTTTGATAACATCTGCTGGAGCTTTATGAAGAAGAATCTCCAAGGGATGGGGGTAGGCCAAGGTTTTGAAAACGGTATAGGTGCAATATATTCTAAACAAAAAGCAAAGTTAATTGTAAACAATGTGGTAACGGAAGAAATATCCATAGAAAAAGGTACACGACAGGGATGCCCAATATCCCCTTTGCTCTTTATATCAGTCCTGGAGGTTTTGTTAAACATGATTAGAAGGGACCAGTTGGTTAAAGGAGTTCAGGTCGGAGTCAGACACTACAAACTAAGAGCATTTGCAGATGACTTAGTATTGACCTTGCAACAGCCAGACACTAGTACTAAAAGAGTACTAGAACTAATTGAGATATTTGGTCAAGTAGCAGGATTTAAATTGAACAAACAGAAAACGAAAGTACTGGAAAAAAATTTAACAAGGGAGGAAAGAGAGAGATTCCAGACTGAAACAGGTTTGGAAATAATGAAAAAAGTGAAATACCTGGGGGTAAACTTAACATCTAAGAATGTGAACTTGTTTAAAGACAATTATGAAAAATGTTGGTCAGAAGTAAAGAAAGATCTAGAAATATGGTCAAGGTTGAGACTTTCCTTGTTAGGCCGAATTGCCACTATTAAGATGAATGTATTGCCTAGAATGTTATTTTTATTTCAGACTTTGCAGATTTTGGACAAGATGGATTGTTTCAAGAGGTGGCAGAAAGACATATCAAAATTTGTCTGGCAGGGCAAAAAGCCCAGAATAAAATTTAAGATTTTAACTGATGCAAAAGATAGAGGGGGGTTTGCCCTGCCGGACTTAAGACTCTACTATGAATCGGCAGCTTTCTGCTGGTTGAAACACTGGCTACTTCTTGAGAACACAGACTTTTGGATCTGGAAGGGTATGATAATAGCTTCGGTTGGCATGCATACTTATGGTATGACAAGGTAAAGGTGCATAAAGGGTTTAAAAACCATATTGTTAGAAAAGCATTATACAATGTTTGGATCCGATATAAAGATTTGTTGGAAAGTAAAACTCCCAGGTGGTTGTCACCAATGGAAGCTAAGGAGGTGAAAAAACTTAACATGGACTCTAAATGGCCAAAATATTGTGAAATTTTAGAACATGATGGTGAAAAGGTTAAACTTCAGAGTTATGAGAAATTAAAGTCCAAAGTTCGAGATTGGTTGCATTACCATCAGATAAATGAGACATTTAAACAGGACAGGAAAATAGGATTTCAGAAGGAGAGGTCAAAACTAGAAATAGAATTGTTAGAACCCAATACTAAGAATCTGTCAAGAATGTATAATTTGCTGTTGAAATGGAATACACAGGATGAAACGGTGAAATCAGCTATGATTAAATGGGCACAAGATATCGGTCATGACATTATGTTTGCAGACTGGGAACAGTTATGGACCACCGGTGTTAAATTTACGGCATGCAATGCCTTAAAAGAAAACATAATGAAAATGATCTACAGGTGGTACATGACCCCAGTCAAGCTTGCAAAAATTTACCATTTGCCCAATAACAAATGTTGGAAATGTAATGAGACTGAAGGTACTTTTTACCACCTTTGGTGGACCTGCCCGAGGATTAAAGCCTTTTGGGAAATGATCTATAATGAAATTAAGAAAGTCCTTAAGTGGACTTTTCCTAAGAAACCTGAGGCTTTTCTCCTGGGCATGGTTGGCCAATTGGTGCCAAAGAAGGACAGGACCTTTTTCATGTGCACTACCACAGCAGCAAGAATTCTTCTGGCAAAGTATTGGAAGATGCAAGAACTACCTACTCTGGAAGAATGGCAGACAAAGGTGACTGACTTTATGGGACTGGCAGAGATGACTGGCAGAATCCGCGACCAGGGGAAAGAGACAGTGGAAGAGGATTGGAAGAAATTTAAAATGTATCTTAAAAACTGTTGTAAAATTGAGGAGTGTTAAGATGTCAAGGGGTAAGAAGTAGAGAATTACAGCTGTAACTAACAAATTAAAGAAAACTCAATGAAAGGGAATTAAACAGATAAATTGACCAAAGGGTTGCTAAAAAATTGTAAAATAAGGATGCAGCGAAAGGGAGGTATGGGGAAGTCGGGCGAAAGAAGGTGCATGAAATTAAGAGTATGAAATTATACATGTTTAAATGTTTTGTATGTTTCTGTTTTGTGTTGTGTTTGTTTTTTATTATGTGTTTGAAAAATGAATAAAAATTATTATAAAAAAAAAAGGCTGCAGGTTTGATCCCTGTAAGGGACAGGTGCATATTCTTGCATTGCAGGGGAGTTGGACTAAATGGTCCTGAGGGTCCCTTCCGACTCTATGACTCTATAATTCAAATTCTATGATTTGAAGCTGAACTTTCTGCTTGCCTGTTTCCTGCTTGCAAAAGCATCACCATTTATAGGCCTTATAGGCCTGCTATGCTAAGTTTAAGCAGTCCAATTTCAGTGAATCCTGAATAAGCACAGGCCTCAAACTATAGGGTGTTACTCTGTTATAAATGTGTTTGGGAAACAGCAAGTGACAGTTACGCTGGCAAAACAGTAAAGACAATCATTTGCCACTGTGTTTATTAATCTGTACTGCTGTAGTTCTCAAAGCATCACCTTACCCTCTGCTTCCACCTCTACTGTGTCCAGAGGTTCAACCGTCTCTGTATCCGTCATGTATCCAAACATGGCCATGGCGCATTGTTCAAATGCTTCTTCCAAGGTATCTCCCCAGGCATGCAACCTAAAAACACACACACACACATTACAGGGCAGTAGTTATAAGCAAAAGATGAGAATGTACAAGGGAGAAACTTGCACTAAATATAGGAAAGAACAGTTGGCTCCACTTCTAACAAGTTCACTATTTGCAGTTTAAGAATTGTCCATTCTAAGAATCCGCGTATAGTAGTCACCCTTGAAAACTTTGTACTTGGAATTTATGAATTCCTAGCTTCATCCTCTGCACAACTAGGAACTTCTTTTGTAGGTGGAAAATAGAGCAACAGGAACATCCAGCACACAATAGGTGTGCAGCATCAATCCCCGCTTCCCCCTATTTGTTGCTGTTGGAGCTTTCAAGAATTGTGCTAAAATATGAGCATTGTGGGAATGGGGGGGGGGGGCTGTGAGAGGTAATCTGCCGCAGACTCTAAGAAATCTGGTTTGCCATTTCTTGCACTTGGCACTTTTTTGGGTATTTTTTCTTATTAACATAGAGTGATAGCAAAAATCCAAAACAGCCTTGTGCTGAAATACAGAAGCCATGACAAGAAAACATAACAACAAAACTCTAGGCATACATCTCGTTTAGAGGAGTTACAGATGGCACACCACCCAACCTACCGTATTTTTTGCTCTATAAGGCTCACTTTTTCCCTCCTAAAAAGTAAGGGGGAATGAGTGTGCGTCTTATGGAGCGAATGCAGGCTGCGCAGCTATCACAGAAGCCAGAATAGCAAGAGGGATTGCTGCTTTCACTGGGCAGCTGTTCTGGCTTCTGAGATTCAGAGTATTTTTTTTCTTGTTTTCTTCCTCCAAAAACTAGGTGCGTCTTGTGGTCTGGTGCATCTTATAGAGCGAAAAATACGGTACTTCACTCTGTAGCAGACAAGAACTGTGTAAAGAGGTAACACACACACACACAACTCATGAGTTAATTATATATGTTGCCATACTTCCCAGCTCTTGGCACTTTTGATGAACTGGATCTTGGTTATATTATTATATGGAAAGGCAATATACAAATGGAAAATACTGACAACACTGTTCCCCCATTGAAATCCCTGAGGCTTTTGGGTTTTCTCATATAACCCCATCTATTGGGATAATGCCAGATACCTTTGAAGAAAAGCTGTTGATTCAAGAGGTAGAACGTCTGCTTTGCACAGAAAAGGTCCAGATTTCAATTCCTGGCACCTCTTGGGAAAGCCAGGAAAAGTCTTTCTCTGAAACCCTGGAAGGCTGCTGCCAGTCAGTGATCGCAGATGCACCTGAGCTTAATGGACCAAAAATCTGACTCAGCAGCGGACAGCTAACCCTGTTCCATGTACCTGGGCAGATTTTATCTAAGCAGCACACTTGTGCTTGTTTATACAGAAAAGGTCAGATGTGCTATCATCAGCAATGGGGAGAATAACTGGTGAAATATGGTATTAGCAGGGTGGGAAACTGAGGAATATTTCCCCCTTAAAAGATTATTTGGGTCATTTTGCTTCTTCTTTTTTGCCTTCTCATTGTCCCTGTTAGATTGTAAGCTTATAAATAAATACTTACTGCACATCAGCAGTATGATCCAGATCTAAATAGGGATTAAAAATATGAAAAAATATGAAGCTACCTGGGGCAACTTAAAATAATTTATTCAATTAAAAAAAGAAAGAAAAAAAAACAGATCTAAAAGACCAAGATAGGGAGAATAAGCAGTCAGAACAAGAATATTCCAAGCACAGTAAATTCATTTACACGTACAGCATAACAATACATCGCAAGAAGCTGACTCTTCTAGAGTGAGGACAGGGGGTGTAGCAGGTTCGTGTCACCAAAAAGAAAGTTAAGACAAAGTGAACTGCACAGAAGTATATTAAGCCCTCCACAGCAAGCAGTCTCAGATTTTATTTTCGAGAGCAAAACTTCGCCTTGTCTGCCAAGTTTCAACACGCTCTCTTAGCCTGGGGAACACCAACGCTTTACAGGAGGGCAAAACTTTCAGCATGCTGGACAAACCACAAAGTGACAGTCTGGGTCCAAATAAATAGCATTGCCTTGCTAAAGATTTTGGTTTATTTTCTCCTACAGACCCAACAGAGCTACGCTGTTTATGGGTGTGCGGAGCCAACGTTGTTGCTCCAATCCGCCGCCCCCTCACTTCTCTCTCCGGGGCGCAATACAAGACTCCGGAGATGAATCCCACCCAGCAATGCCCTGCAGCCTGTACCCGGCACCCTCTTCCCCGCCCCCGGTTCAAGATGCACAGGCACTCGGTTTGTGGAAACTCTGGAGCTGAGCCCAGCGCTGCATTTCCACCAAAGAACTATAAATCCACGCACAGACTAAGACCGCTCAGGAATACACTCACATTCATACTTCTTATTGAGAGGAGGGTACTTCGTCTTAACGATTTTCTGGTCCTCTGTCAAGTTGTAGTCCCGGTAGTTATCTGCCATGGCTTGCTGCTTTTGCCATGCAAAATTCAATTCACTTCCTCCTCTTAGGACAGAAGAGGCGAAAGATGGCCTCCTTCCTGTCTAAAACATGTCAGCCGCAGCCAAGCCCGCATTTAAAGGAACAGTTCCCTTCATTACAGATCTATCTGTATCATATTTGTATATCTGTATCCATGCTGCTTTATTAGTACTCCCCCCTCCCCTGAAAAGCGGCAATTTGAAATTTTGGGCTTTTAATTCTTAGACCTACACATCGACCTGGCAAAAAGACAATTAAACAAGATGCTCCCTTTTCCTGAGCTATACTTGCTGTTTTTAAACGAAGCATTCAAACCAGGGCTGCTGTGTGTCCTTCAACAGCTGACTGCTGTCAAGCAGAAATTCATTAGGAGAAGCTTTTCCTGGCATATATGCCAGTGCAAGGGCAGGGAAAGCTTCACCCGCTGGATATCTGCCTGGCCTTATACAGCTGCGAAAGGCACAAGAGTGGCCTAAGAAGAAGATAGTTGACAATCCTTTGGTTCTTTTTTTTATTATTGCTAGCGTAGTAACGGTGCCATAATTTTAAGGTTGGCATGTGTATATTAATTTTATTCAGTGCGCTTTCATTCCACCCTCCCAGAACCATAGAGTACAGGATTCTTCCCTTCACAACCTGGTTATCACCACTGTAAAATAGGCAAGGCTGAGTGATGGGGACTGGCACACAATCACTTAAAAGGGAATTTGGACCTGGGTATCGTCAGTCCTTGTTTGACACTAACTTCTGGAACAAAGCAGTACACAATAGATGATCACTCTTTTTTTAATAAATAAGAATATATTAAGAAATATGCTACATGCTTTAAGCAAATCATGTTCCTCTCACTCTTTTGGTTAAACTCATATTGGAAGTACTTCATCTGTTTTGAGGTGATTATAACAAGCCCCACTATGCAATGGGCCTTACTCCCTGGATGATGTGCATATACATGTTTACTTACTTACTTATACCAATTTATATATAATGTAACAAATACAATTAGACCATTTTGCTTTTTGTTGGCATATAAAGGGCAGGCATAAATACACAAAGCACCTGGCGAAATTTATTTTATTTCTATGTGCCAAAGCACTTGTGAAGTTGGGCATTTTATGATGTTAGCTGCTCTGAGCCCAGCCTTGGCCGGGGAAGGCAGGATACAAATAAAAATTTATTATTATTATTTTTAGATTGTTACTCCCATTTTACAAGTGGGAGTGCGGAAGCAGCCACATGTACCTCAAAAGCCAATAACATTCAGTGGATTTTTTTCAGCTATCACATTTCCCTAATCTCAGCCCAAAAGGCAATGTTTGCTCCTCCAATCGACTCGTACAACCACCCCCGTTTCGCAAGAGCGGCCTAGCAACTCTCAGGCCGCCTAAACAAAAACAAAATGGCGGCCCCTACGGAAGCTTCGGCAAGCCACTGCCCTTCTTCCGCAACGACGAAACGGGAGAAGGGAGAGGAGGAGAGAGCGCGTGCGCCATCCTTCCCTCAGCGAGCACGCCCACTCGGCCCCGCCCCTCCTCCCCCATTCCCGCCGTCGTGATTCGCCGAGAAGATCGCGGCGGCTGGGTCTGCGATTGGACGGAGTTGGCGCGAACCCGTCTCGCGCGCCACTGCCGTTCTGAAGTGAATTGTGAAGGGGGGGAAAGGAGAACTACGACGACTCAGGAAACAATAGAGGAGCGCTCAGCAGCCCAGCGCGGGGAGCACGAGGCGCCTAGTGAAGGGCGGGCTGAGTCCTGAGGTAAACTAGGAAGGCCGCGACGTCGCCGGCGCTCCCGAAGAGAGTCGGAATCATGGCGGATAAAGAAGGTGAGCGGAGCGGGCGCTGCTGAGGCGGGAGACTCGACTAGGCCTCACTCCCCCCCTTCCCCCTCCCTTTCCGGCCTCTGCGCGGGCCCTGGCAGAAAAGCGCCTCGTCCAATCCCCGCGCCTGCTTCCTCGGCCCTGCCCCCTTTCCCTGGGAGCCGCCCAATGGGGCGCTCCTCCCTCCTTTCCTGGCACCTTCCCTCCCGCCCCCTCCTCTTCCCTCGCCTCCTTCGTGGTTCTCGGGTTATTTGCGTGGAGCTGCTTTGTAATGAGGCGGGGAGGGCTGCAGGATGGCTCAGGTGGGCTTTTCGCAAGGGCGGCTCGCCGGCCTCTCAACCCCCCCTCCCCCCATGGGCCTCGAACAAACTGCGGCGGTTCCGCCGGCGGCGCTTCTCCAGCCGGGGAGGGAGACGCTCGCGAGGTGGTGGAGGAGGAGGAGAATTGGGGCGCGGGAGGGGTCCCACCGCCTCGTAAATTTCTGCTTCTGGGGTGGTGGTGGTGTTATGTAGCATCATGTGTAGAATGTTCCTTTTTCTCCACGGGGCACAGGGCTGCGTACATGGCTTCCTTCCCGTCTCCTCTTCCCCCGCCCCCGCTTTAGATTCTCAGCAACCTGTGAGGTACATTAGGTTGGCGGGAGGGGGGGGGAGGAGAGTGTGTCTTAAAGGCACAGGGCCCTAGAAAAGAAAGAGAACGATGCCATTTCTTTTCACACTTTCTCTTTGTGTTCCAAACAGCCTAGATGGGTTGTTCTGTTTTTAAGAAGTGGTCTTCTTTAGAGAAGGGAGTGAGCAGATTTCCACGTTGCTGGTTTTTTGTTTTTTAAACTAGAACTCTGAGATACACCTGAAGCCAGATTCAGGCTAGTGTCTAGGGGGAAAGAGGCACAATGCACAGCTAAAGAAGAACATGCATAATCCAGGGATTCGCTTTTAGTAACATAAGTTAAGCTTTCATCCTTCAGCAAGCCACTGCCTATCCCAGCCCCCAACTTCTTTTGTTTAATAGTGCCATTTAGTCAGGGGAACCTTTTTCATTCTTGTCATTGCTCAGATTTTGAGAGTGAGAAGTGCTTGCTGCAAATTGTCCAGAGGTCACTCCTCTACTTTCTGTTTAGCCTTGTTTTAGCAGTGTTCAAAGTGCCTCAGTTCTGTCACCTAAGTAATCAGTACAAAAGCCCTGTAAAGTAGATCTTGCTCCTCTTGCAGGTAGGAGGTTGAGAATACAGTAATTTGTCTAAAGCCATCAATTGACTTAATGATATTATAAATGAACTTTGTGTGGAGATGGTTCCCAATGTGTTGGCATCAGTCTTTCTAGAGACACAATGGAGTGTGTCTCCAGGGGTGAAGTCAAACATTGAGGGGTGCAAACCTGGGCAGTGTGTATGGAGGTCCTGGGCTGCCCAGAGGTCAAGATCCCTGTCCTGGCCTTGCTGATGTGGTCCAAAGGAAATCCGAGCAATATGTTTGGCATCAACTTGGCTGCAGGAGTTGCCAGAAAGAGGTGTACAACCTACAGTTCAGCAATCCTTACAGCCACATCGTAGGAGTTATATCTTAGCTGCATATTACAAGTTGGGGACTGATAAATGCTGCTTAGAGAATTCCTGCCTAATTTTGAATCACAGATTTCCTATCTGAGGTCTTACATAACTACTGCTTTGCAATAGAATTTAACTTCTTGTTGCTGTTCAGATGTTAGTTTGAAAAAAACTAAAGCACAGTAGAATAGTAGCTCTGATGCTCTTTAGGAGAAAGCTTTTTTCTATCCTGTTTGAAGGAAAGTGAATGCAGCATTGCATGAGTTTACTTGTAAACTATGTTATGATGCAACTGACAAACATGACTTACTTAGTGAAAATGATTCCTCCTGGCATAGAAAAACAATACCATGATTAACAGTGCATGATTATGTAGAAGTAAGTTCAATTGTGCCTAATGGGACGTATTCCCAAGGAAGTAAGCATAAGGTTGCAGCCATGGGTGATCTTGCTGTCCTGCTATGCTCCCTCAGTGATTGATCAGGGTGACACAGTTTGGGGCATGGAAGAAATTCCTGAGTACAGAAGATGTGAATATCTTCCTCTCTACCCTAAATTCTAAATATATTTTGCTGGAGAGCTATGGTATGTGCCCATAAGGTTTTTAGGTTTGTTTACCAGCATTAATTAATGCATTCTTTTCTTATAATTATCAGCTGCCTTTGATGATGCTGTGGAGGAGCGAGTGATCAATGAAGAATATAAAATCTGGAAAAAGAACACTCCATTTCTCTATGATCTTGTAATGACCCATGCTTTGGAATGGCCCAGCTTGACTGCTCAATGGCTTCCTGATGTAACCAGGTAACACACATGACTGCAGCATAAACACTCATTTAGTTGATTAAGGTCTATGCAACATAGAGGCTTCCTTTTGAGTAAACATCCATAGGACTATGCCTGCATTTCTTTAGTATATGAACAAGTTTGTTAAACTAAGTAAGGGCCAATTTGTGCACACCAACATTAAATCAGGAAATTTATAACTGTAGCTTCTTGTCTTGTTCAATCTAAGAAACTGGTTAACAGCTCTGGAAGAAGCCATAATATTATATCAACTTCAAATCCTGGTTTAGTATACTGGATTCTGAAGCTGGAAACTATAGTTAATTGGATGTACTGGTTTGGTTGTTGCAGAGGGAGGAGCAAAGAAGTTGAGCATTTCTGACTGATAAACAGATGCATGATGGAATGCAGCCAGCATGTTAGCTTCTTTGAATTTGAGTGTCCCAGAAAGGCAATAAATATTTTAACATCTATTGTAACTCTAATTGCTACATTGTTTTCCTGCTTGCAATGTTTCATATTGTTGGGTAAGGAAAACCAGCAACTCTAGTCTTAACAGTTTCTGTAGTAGTAGTAAGGGAAATTCACATTGACTCTATTGGTGTTCCTAACATTCATGCCAGTGACCCTAATGAGGAGTCAGTCCAAGTAAACAAACACCCTTTGACCTCATTGTTCCATTGTTCTTTTATGGCATTGTAGACCTGAAGGCAAAGACTTCAGTATTCACCGGCTAGTTCTTGGGACCCATACCTCTGATGAACAAAATCACCTTGTGATAGCCAGCGTGCAGCTCCCTAATGATGATGCACAGTTTGATGCCTCACACTATGATAGTGAGAAGGGAGGTAAGAGAACAAAATGGGAAAGAAAAGTGGGTTTCTTCCTGAATCTTCCTAATGATTTATCTTATTAGATTAACAAGGCACAGATCTTGGAGAGGACTGTTGGTGTTAGGCTAAGATAAAAAACTAAACTAACAAATGGCCCAGTGACGCTTTGGTTTCCAGGATGTATTTTCTGTCCAGAAAATTGGATATACATTAAACAGTGCAACTTAGTAGATGAAGTACTTGTCTGAAATTGAAGTCTTGCTGTTACAGGAATTATGTTTCAATATCTGGTTGATTAGCAATATGTTGGCTTACTGCTGTCTTGAACTTTTTTGCTTAATGAGTGATATAACATGTTACAGAGTGTAAATATGATATGTCAGCACTGTTGTACCTATTTAAATATATATAGATTGAAAGCTTTCTAAAATCATATTGCCTAAATATACTTTGGGATATTGTTTTCCAAATGTAAACAAAAGACATACTGTATTCAAAAAATACCTTTTTTTAGTTCCATAATGTCCATATGGCATAGATTCTTGGTTTTAATTGGTTTATTTTCTAGTATGAATGACTTGAAACATGTAGCTATTATAGAAATGCCTTCTTTATTTTCAGAGTTTGGAGGATTTGGCTCTGTTAGTGGGAAAATTGAAATTGAAATAAAAATTAACCATGAAGGAGAAGTGAATAGAGCACGCTACATGCCCCAGAATCCTTGCATTATTGCCACAAAGACTCCATCCAGTGATGTACTTGTGTTTGATTATACCAAGCATCCATCTAAACCAGGTATTTGTCTGTTGTCATATCTGAACCTTGCTCCTTTTATATATGTACTTTGGGGATAAAATAAATTGATAGGCCTTGTCGATTCCAAGTATTGTATTGAGATTCTTTTAAAAGTGTTCTCATTTGTTGTATATTAATGTATGCTTTGTTTACTGCCATTTAATTTAGTTTTGTTGGTTGAATCTAGCCTAGGAATGTATAGCAGGAAAATTAATGATGTTCAGGATACAGAGGCTGCTCTTTAGTTGTTCACCACAGTTGTTGGTCTCAGAACTGCCTCAGAAAGCAAGACACTTGCAAGTGAGGCTATACTAATCTGATTTCATGCTGGAACAGAATTTAAGAGTCATGTTTTCAGATAATTTATTAAGATTTGTGATGGACAAGCATAGTTTGAAAAACTTGAAAGCAGAACAAAGAAAAGGTTTAATTAGGAAAAACAGTATAAGTTCAGACAAATAGAATTAACATAGACTGCTGAAATCTGTGATGGGGGGTGAATTTTAAGTGACATCTTGTATTGTCCAACTAAATCAGGGTGGATAATTTTTTAGCTCCAATTTGACATGTGGGCAGGGGTGCCCACCTGTCAATAAGCAGCTTTGCAAGGCTTCCACCTCTCCTTTTTTAAACTTCCAGTCTCAGAACTTTAAAAGGAGTGTTGGAAAGGCCTGTAGGGGCTGTATTAAAGCCTTTTGCCAGAGCGCTTTTTGAATCATCCTTCCCCTATCTCCTTTAAATGAAAGAAGAGGATGGTGGAGACTTTAAAAAGTACTATTAAGGACTGCTTTAAAGTGGCCCCTGTGGTGCCATTTCTACTATAAGCCAGGAAGAAGATCTGACCATATGTTTTAAGTGATTAATTTATCCTTATCTGCTATTTTATAATACTGCATGAATAATGCAAGCAATAACCCTATCTCCTTTGCAGACCCTTCTGGTGAGTGTAATCCAGATCTACGTCTTCGTGGGCATCAAAAAGAAGGCTATGGTTTGTCTTGGAATCCAAACCTTAGTGGTCATCTGCTTAGTGCATCTGATGATCATGTGAGTATTGTATACTTAGTTAGTCCAGGTATACATAATGTACATATCTGCCAAATGAATGTTTCTTATGTTAATGTATTTTCCCATTTTATCTCTTTAAGACCATTTGCTTGTGGGACATAAGTGCTGTTCCAAAGGAAGGGAAAGTGGTGGATGCGAAGACTATCTTTACAGGCCATACAGCTGTGGTGGAAGATGTTTCCTGGCATTTGCTGCATGAATCTCTCTTTGGATCTGTTGCTGATGATCAGAAACTTATGATGTAAGCAAAGTTATATATTTTGTTCACATTGAATTATTTTCCCTTGAATTCTCTTTAAAAGTTGGAGGGATAGGCTCTTTTTAATAGTTACACTTGCAATTAGTGTGTGTTAATCGGTCCATCAAAGGTGTTTCTTATCTTGAATTTCGTTTTTTACAGTTGGGACACCCGGTCAAACAACACTTCCAAGCCAAGCCATTCGGTGGATGCTCACACTGCTGAAGTGAACTGTCTGTCTTTCAATCCTTATAGCGAGTTCATCTTGGCCACGGGATCAGCTGATAAGGTGTCTGTCCAGAATTTGCAGAAAACATTGCCTAATCCATAGTTGCAGAATAAAGGGGATTGTTATACAGTGGTACCTCGCAAGACAAAAAACTCGCTAGACGAAAGGGCTTTTTGTTTTTTGAGCTGCTTCGCAAGACAATTTTCCCTATGGGCTTGCTTCGCAAGACGGAAACGTCTTGCAAGTTTGTTTCCTTTTTCTTAACGCTGTTAATACAGTTGCGACTTGACTTCGAGGAGCAACTCATAGAACGCGGTGTGGTAGCCTTTTTTGAGGTTTTTAAAGACTTTGGTGATTTTTGAAGCTTTTCCAAAACTTTCCCGACACCGTGCTTCGCAAGACGAAAAAAATCGCAAGACGGCAAAACTCGCGGAACGAATTAATTTCGTCTTGCGAGGCACCACTGTACTGTAGAACAGTGTGTGTTGTGTTGAATGGTCCTAGGCTGTGGGGCTGTGGGCTGTGTACAGTACAATAAAGGAATATTCTTATTTATTAATTATGCTCTGGTTTTCCTGGCCAGACTGTTGCATTATGGGATCTGCGAAACCTGAAACTGAAGTTGCACTCCTTTGAGTCACACAAAGATGAAATATTCCAGGTAAGCTCACATAATATCATGTGACATCATTTTCTGATCATTTGACAACATGGCTGCTCTTAAAAGGGTCTTTGATTTTTCCTTCTCAGAATTGGCCTTGCTATTAAAGTTTCAGACCAACTATTGACAGGTTTGCTCATCTCTGTGTTAGTTCAGTTAGAAAACTTAAGCAGATATGTTGATTTTTCTGCTTGTGGAAAAAGCATGTTTCTGATCCTTAAGCAGCAGATTTAAAAAATTGGAATGGAATATTCGGGCAGTGAGGTTTAAGTGACTGACTTGGCTGACAGAAAAAACATTGGCAGTTACAAAGAGAGGGTTAGAATACCAGAATAAGTGTAGGACAAGGTTACTTATTTGATGACTCAGAGTACTAATTTCCTTCATTTGTTATGGTGATAAAGTATGCATCAGTGTGCAAGTAATGACTAATGAAGACATTTGGAGACTTTTTGAGTTCCCTAAATGTATCCCATTTGATGCATTGCACTTATTCCCAGGGGTGGAAAATATAACTAATAGGTCAGGTGATACATCTTAAAGACTTGGGTGGTTTCATGATATACTAGCTTTATGAAGTGCTTCTAGAATTTAAAGTACAGGCAACCCACTATTTACGTGGGGGTTGTGTTCTGAGGCACCACTTGTGTCAGTGAAATCGTGTATATTTGAAACACCATTGAAAAAGCTGACAAACTCCTCATACTGTTCTGTCCTTTTTGTGGCTTTTCGGGTCACTTCCAGGTTTGGCGTGTATGCACAGTCGTGTACATATTGAACACACATAAATGGGGGCCGCCTCTCCATAATTTGGTTTCCAAATACAGACTGCTCAAAGGTGCAGAATGCTGGCAGCCTGTTAGTCTGCTGTTGAGAAAGGTGCACTGGTACTGATTTACTGCCAGACCAGGTTCAAGATTCTTGTGTTAATTCACAAAGCCCTAAACAGCTTTGGCCCAGAGTACCTTAAGGACTATCTGATCTTTTGTTCTCCACCTCAGATCCTCTGATGCGGCATGTCTGCAGATTCCCCAAGCCCTTGAGGTTCCATTGGCTTCCAATAGGGACTGAGCCTTAAATATGGCAGGCCTTGCCCTGCCCTGTGAAACTCCCTACCTGTAGATATTCAGCAGACCCATCCCTGCCTTCTTTCAGACATTTTCTGAAAACTGCTGTCAAAACAGACCGTCACAATATGATACTGTATTTTTCTTTAAACCAACCAGAATCTACTGAATTTTTAAATTATGTTTTATAGATAGATTTAATTTCATTTTATATGTTGTAGGCCACCTTGTTATATTTTATGAAAGAGTGGATTATACATTTTCAACTAATTAAAGCGTGTTTAGCTTTCTGGTCATTATGATTGATGGTATCCCTCCTCTGCTCAACTAATTGTGTAGCATATCTGAACTATGAGCAGTTTTCAAGAGCAGAATAATAAATAGGGATATTAAAGTGATTGGCTGGCATTAATGAACAGTTATTGTTTGATATGCTGTGTAAGAACAATAAAAATTGCATCAAAACTGTGATAGATACTAAGGCAAAATGTTCTATCTCATCCTAATTGATGCAGGTTCAGTGGTCACCACATAATGAAACCATTCTGGCTTCCAGTGGTACCGATCGCAGACTGAATGTTTGGGATTTAAGGTAAGCCTCAGATGTGTGTAGTGTTGTGGAAATGCTGAGTTCACCAGAAGTGCTTTTTGTGTGTCTCTAAATACTGTCTTCTGTTTCAGTAAAATTGGAGAAGAGCAGTCTCCCGAAGATGCAGAGGATGGCCCACCTGAGCTGTTGGTAAGTGAGAGTTTTGGTGTTGCCACCAATTCTCCCCCCACTCCCCAAGAAAAAAATGAGGTTTTATGCCTTTGTTTGGGCTTGGTCAGCTGGTGAGAGGCTGGCACTTGTGTACACCATCCTTGATCAGAGTTGAGTAGTCCTAATGTGGTGTTTTATTCTGCTTTGCATGTACTTTTCCTTCCATGAACTATTTTTTAGCTTCCTGAGTGGCAGCTTCTTGCTGACACTCTCAGCTAATCTATGAATGAGATGCTTTCTGAGTCCAGGATACTTTCTGTGACTCTTCTTCCATCTCAAACCCCCTCCCCCTAGCTGTGAATGAATTAAGCTCTGCAGTTGAGAGGGTGAGGGGGGGGAATAGAAATAAAAATGGATTAGCTCATTTGTGGAGTTGTTACTTCATTGTATTTTAGACCTAGGTTTGGATTTTTATTTTAAATTTTGCCTTACTGATAGTCCAGCCTTTATTGAAGATTGGAGGGTTTTATGTTGGTAACCTACTATAGGTATCTATATGATTCACACATAAGAATTGCAACCCTGTTCTTGAAATATGTATTCTGTATTGGAATTGTGTACTTAAATAACTATCTTATTCTCAATGTTAGTTTATTCATGGTGGTCACACTGCAAAGATATCTGACTTCTCCTGGAATCCAAATGAACCCTGGGTAATTTGTTCGGTATCAGAAGACAATATCATGCAAGTCTGGCAAATGGTAAGTACTTGGTTGATTATTTGAGGGGAAAGTGAATCGAAAACTGTGTGCACAGAGCACCCATAAGATGCATATACCGTAGATTCCGGCGTATTAGGTGACTGGGCATATTAGACGACCCCCCAAATTGGCAGCTGCAATTTGGGGGTTTGTCTTATAAGCCCAGTTGCCTAATACGCTGGGCAGCTATGCGCTAGGAGAAAGCCGCCCGGCGCGGAGCCGAGCCAGCCGCCCGCTGCTTCTGAAGCAGCAGCCAGGAGTGCAGCCTGCCACCCTAGCACAGAGCGGAGCCCACCACTGCTGCGGCTGCTTTGGAGCTGCCATCGCAGCGGGGGGCGGATACCCAGCATATAAGACGCCCCCTGACTTCTTAACCTCTTTTTTGGGGTTAAAAAGTCGTCTTGTACACAGGAATTTATGGTAATCTCAAACTGTAGAAGGAAGTCTGTCTTCTTAATAAATATTTGGCAGAATAATGACTGAATCCTTGTGTCTGATAAAGGTATTGAATTTGCTATGTGTTGGAAGTTACTTAGGGTAAAGTTTGTCATTGTAGTGTTTAGATTGTGCCCTTAGAATAGGAATTTGCTTAACTGTCAGATTGATACTTCTATCTAATTTTTCATTCCTCTCTCTCTGTATAGGCAGAGAACATATATAATGATGAAGATCCTGAAGGAAGTGTGGATCCAGAAGGGCAAGGCTCTTAGATACTTGACCCCTTCAATCCTTGCTGTTTGTTTCCTGTTGTTGTCCTCTCCCTGCCCTGTTCTCCTAAGTTTCTTGAGATTGTCAGCTGTGCCGTTTTGCGAGAGACAAACACATGCACTGTGCATTCAACAGCCCATCTGTAGATATTATCCATCAGCCTTGCTTCTAACTCAGAAAGTGAACTGTTGCTGTTGAAAGTTGAACCTGACTTGAGTTAGCATCACACAGTGGCTTCTTGGTTGACAATTTTTCACCTGAAAACTCATTGATTGAGAGCTGGTGTACACAGCCTGCTACAAGAAATTTTAACATAAACTATGCCTGAATTGTTTCAGTACAAGTGTTGGTAAGATCTGAATGTTTTCTACTGAGGGGAATTTTAGAGTAGAAGCTTCTCTCTATTTTATTTTTATTGGTCCCTCTGATAAAAGAATATGTTTAGAGCTTTAGCTCTAGTCTTGTTTCAGATACAGATAAATCCAGTGCAGGGTCACCTATTCTTAACTTTTTTTCTAGCTGCTGTCCTTGATTAGAGTAAGTTGGTCTGTCCAGATAATGCCTGAGTTTTCTTCATAATACTTTGGTCCTTCTATCCTTTTCTGATGGGGCAACTTAGGATGTGGATATGAATATGGTAGTCACCTATAACTGCACATTACTTTGCCCTTTTGTGTGTTTCTTGAACTGTGTTCTATTATCTTTCCTTTCTGTGGTTTTTTTTTTAAACTGGGGGGACCACCAAGTTATGAAAGTGTTTGTTTTCAGCTGATATATGTAATAAAGACTGATATAAAGAATGATTACATGATATTTCACCTTGTATCAGCACATCTCCTGTGAGGGTGAACTGTTCCACCAGCAGCCCATTTAACTTTCCATGAACCATACAAGTGCTTCAGATTAAATAAATTTGGTTTTCTATGTGGGATGTGATTGTCTTTTCTTTTTAAAAAAAATCGACACTTTTAAGTTTTCTGGAACCAAAGTGGCGGCTTAATTGTGCGGCTTCTAAATTGTTAATGAAGTACAGTTATGCTAAAGAATGGAACGGAATGATACATTATGAAGTTGAAATCTTGAAATACATGGAAATCACTTTGCAACTAGCAATGAGAGTATGATGTAAAATGGCAGAACTTGCTGCTGCCTGTGTTTTGAGGAGGGTTGAGAGTGGTGAGCTGCCTGTTGAAAGAAACAATTTGATATGATCTGCTAAAATAATACAATAAGCTGGCCACCGGAAAGCGCTGGTGGGTATGTATCATTTAGTAGTTTGCGGCTGAAGATGTTTAGGTAACTCCTTTCCAGGTTAAAGTTGATTCCTACAGGTGTCTCTGGTTCTTGTTTCAAACTGGATTTCCTTTGCCAGCTCAACTCTCTGAAATACCCTCCACCCTGGGCTGGATGTCAGAACCTCTCAGTTTTCATTCCCACCCAGCAGTTCTTGCTTGAAGGCATTCAGTAACCTTGTCATTTTTTCCACCTACCTGACACTGTTGAGATGCAGAAGGAAGGCTTGTGCCCAAATCTCCTGACACTGTAGGCCTAACTTTGTACTTTGGCTTGGATGCTGTGTCAGTGGGAGAATGGAAGTAATGCAGTTACTTTGTCCCCAGTGGTTCACATCATGGTCGTCACCTTTTACAGGTTTTATACATAACAGTCAATAGCGCTCCACTAGTGTATGTTGCAGGTCCTTTTATCCTAAGTGTAGAACTGTTCTTGAAGATGTTAACCTTCAAACTGGAAAACACTCTTATTTGTAGAATTTTTACTGAGGTGAGGGTAATGGAAAGAAAATAAAGACAAACCTGGTTGGTTTGCCATTGGGGTAGAATAGGGATGACTATTGACCTGCAGTCTTCTTAAGTGGATTTTCAGTCTGTTTAACCCTGTTATCAAAACAACACTGATTTTTCATCCATTAATAGCAAAATGCTCTATGTGCGTATAAAAAAGCATTTAATTAGGACTTCTGCTTCCTATCCATAACATGTCAAAATTACAAACTGTTGCCTAAAATAACTAAACAATCCTGTTCTCAAACAGGTTTTGTACAGAATTATAACATTAAAGAAAGGCTGATTAATGTACTGACACGTCAGCTTTACACAAACCTTAAACTTGGAAGTTGTGCATAATGCACATCTGGTATCCTGCTGATGTGACATCTGTCCAGTGTAACTACCAGGTTTCTGACCATTTGCAGCCCTTTTTATAATAAAGATGCAAACCATCATAGTTTTGCTTATTGGCTGTGTCGTCAGATGGAGAGGATGTACTATCATTCCCACTAAAGAGACAGCAAGGAAGGGGAAGGATGTCCATGCTTATAAATCCATGATTCAATCTTGGTCTTGTTTAGCTTCAGACTTGCAGAGTTGTCCATAGATTTCTAAGCAGTCTCTGTAGGGATTGAAATCGAGTAACCAGTTGCTCAATGAAATAACATTTCACAAGGAAATCAGATTTCTTTGCTGTTCTTTCCCTTGTGGGACTCTCATCGTTCCACTCAGCTTATTCCAGAGGTCGAGTGGGAGACCTGTGCTCATGACACCCCACATCTTTTGCCCTCCATCCAATCCTACCTTTCCAACAGCCTCTCTGATATTGCTGCCTGAATGTTTCAGCAGTATTACTAACTGCACTATCTCCTATGACATGTGACCTCATTCATTTTCATTTGTCACCATCTACCCTACTGACGCGGTTGGCGCTGTGGTTTAAACCACAGAGCCTAGGACTTGCCGATCAGAAGGTCGGCGGTTCAAATCCCTGTGACGGGGTGAGCTCCCGTTGCTCGGTCCCTGCTCCTGCCAACCTAGCAGTTTGAAAGCACGTCAAAGTGCAAGTAGATAAATAGGTACCACTCCGGCGGGAAGGTAAACAGCGTTTCCGTGCGCTGCTCTGGTTCGCCAGAAGCGGCTTAGTCATGCTGGCCACATGACCCAGAAGCTGTACGCCAGCTCCCTTGGACAATAAAGCGAGATGAGCATCGCAACCCCAGAGTTGGCCACGACTGGACATAATGGTCAGGGGTCCCTTTACCTTTTTTTACCCTACTGATTAGACATGAACCCTTTACTTTCTCTTTTGACACTTTTCACTTTTGCCTCCTGGCTCAGTCTGTTGCAGAGTGGTATACAATGGTGGTTGCAAACCTGGTGCTTGTGGCATCAGTTTGCCCAGTAGTGCTGCTGTTGTGTGTGTATGATTGCACTAGCTCTTAAAGTGGTTCATCTTTGCCTCTTGTTTCTTGGCCTGAGCACACCCTCTTTTGCCCATTCAGTCACCTTCCCTTCCCTTTCTGGCCCCTACAAGAAAATAGGAGAGGGAACAACACACTGACTAGAAGAAGCAGCTGACTACAAATAGGTAGATCAGGTTGTTGACCTGAGGGGCAAGGCGTGTGTGTGCTTGAATCAATAGGGCATTTGCTACTCCCATCTACCTTGTGGTAGCAGGCACTCTGTCTACAGAGGCCATTCACCCCCTTTTCTCTTTTTGCTAAATGGGTGCTAGAGCTGGCAGGCCCTTTATCTGCCTTGTCCTTATGACACTGGCTCATTTTCTTGTGGAGGCACTTTCCCCTCCTTATTTTCTCATCACCTCCCATTTTTGTTTTGCTAAACAGAGAGGTTGCAAACTAGCTGATCTTTACCTGCGCACCTTATGCTTATGGTGTTAATGTGTTCTCTGGCTATACATGCTGTTTAGGGTCTTTTTGCTGAACATTGAGCAATATTGGTCACAATTTGCATTTGTGCTTTTTTCCAAGGAGAGGGAGAAGACAATGGTTCCAGCAGGACATTTGCCTTTTGTGGTGCTGGGCACATTTTAAAGCAGTAACCTTTTAAAAGGTTGTAAAACTTATGCAGACAGAGCATTACTACATATGTTTACATTTATGAAAATAAATGATAAGCACCAGTACTACTCTCAGAAGAAGAGATCAGAAAGATGCTGTACAAAGACAGAATGGTTCCAGAAAACAAGTAATTTTGGAACGCTTTCAGAAATATAGAGACCCTTTTGCTGGCAAGCACTACTGTGCCATTTTGGGTGTCTCTTACAATCACTTCAGTTAAAAAGGCTACATTTTGTTTGAGAAAATGAGAGCGAAAAGGCAGGCTTGTGCTTGAAATTTCCCCTGAAAACCTTTGTTAAATGGACAGGGAAATGTCCACATTCTCTACACACTGTCCAGAATTAAAATCTTCAGCCTTCTCCATGCCTAAACTATCCTACATTATATAGTGTTGTCCGTTGCAAAGAAAGGAGCTTTTGAATGGCCTATCCAACAAGAATTTCACATTCTATTACAAAGTCTAGACCACCTCTTGTTAAGCAGAATTAAGATAGTAATTCTTTGTTCACCTGGAAATCACACCATGACCAACCTGTGCTCTTGTGAGTTGAATCATCTTGGATCATGAAATGTTACATGGTTATATAAACTAGGTGCCTCTTACACCTTTGGAACCCTAGATTTGTTCCCTTACTATCAGACTCTATCCATTAAGTCTTGCTGTGGCCTAGGGCAGACTTTTCACTTTATTTGGATTTTACTCTGCCATTGATAATACTTTTGTTCTTCTCCTGTGTTTTGGACTGAGCATAGGGAAGGGAAGTTTATAAAGGCCACACAATTCTCTCATACTCTTCTACCTTTCAATTCCCACGAAATGGCAACATCACATTTCCCTCCTTCACACCTAACTATTCTCATTTGTTACACCTGCTTAATAACCTCTATTTATTAAGAAGCTGATATTGTGTTTGTTGCTCTGAACCCCTTACAAAGGAACTTCTCTACCCAGACTATGTGGACTGAAGTCGTTCATGCCATTCTCCTGCATGTTTTGGATAGGGACTGATTTCTAGGCCAGCCCTACCAAAGTGACAGGAGCCTGTCCTCCAGAATAGAGCTAGGCCCTCAGTGGGAAGCAGTCCCCTACTATATTTGAGATATATGTCCCAGGTCAGTCATATTCTATTCCCCAAACACAAAGGGTTAGTCTGCAGAACACAGAGACATATCTTGAGCAAGCATGGTAACTGGAAGAACCTATAGTGAGAATTTGTCACTCCTTTCTCACTGCTGCTTTCAGATTTTCTTGCAGGCTTTGCTTTCATGTGGATAGTGTTTCAAGAAAGATAGTAAAACCTACTTGTAAATTGATAGTTCCTGGTGTAAGCTGGCCCTCAGCTCTTCCAATTCTTGGTTCTTCTTCTGCTGAAGTTGGACTCCATTCTTCAGCTCCCTCAGCCTTTCTTCCATCTCTTCCACCTGGTCCTGTGGATGGAAAAGCATTGAAATGTTTCAGAAAGGAATGTAGCCTGCATTTTAAATTCATCATGTAGTGTTTTGTACCTGATGTAATCAGGGCCAACATATGGCTGATAACTTAATCTAGAGGGCATCACATTTTGCTGTCCAAACACATATTTCACATCAGAAGGAGGAAAACCATAGCATTCTATCAGAATCGATCAGTTTAAATTGTTCATTCCCTTTTGTGAATTATATGCTTAAAATAAAAATTTGTTATTAAGATAATAAAAGTGTCTGTGGCTTATATAAATTATGCAAGTTAATTTGACTAACTTGTTCTGTTAGTCATGTGCATAGCTGGGAACCAGGAAAAACTCTTGCTAAGCCTTCCTTTGACTGTGCAGGTTTTACCTGATGTTGTTTATAAACTTTCAGACCCATCTTTGTAGCCTGAAAACTAAAAATGTCTCTTTTTATATATTAAAAAGGAGACATCTTTGGTTCTTGAGAGACTGAACTCTATGCTTTTTATTAGGTAGTCTGGATTTTCTGTTTCTTTCTTTTCTTTTCTTTTTTGCAGCCTTCAAGTAGAATTCTCATCTTTTGTAAAGCTGTCAGACTGAAATTAAGTTTACTCATCTTTAAACTATATAAAGACCATCCACCTCACATAAGTGGTTCTGCAAAAGAATGCAATGTGTGGATGGAGCCACCCAGTTTTTGTATTATATATAATTTGCCTTGTAGCTCCTTGGTTGAAAGGCAGAATAAAAATAAAATATTCTCAATTTTCCAGTTGTGCATAACTTGAAGTAGGATTGAAGAAGGAAGGAGTTGTCTTCACAATGCAAGCATAACATATTGCTCAGAAACCCACTGAAAGCAGAGTCCGACTCATTACTGATGGCATGCCCTTGCCCCCAGCTGACTGAGATAATGCCAGCCAAACGGCAACTATGCTGATTTGCACTAGCTAAAACTGGCAGCATAAGAACTCAAAGATTCATGAAGTTGGTGCAGTTCAGATAAATATGGTAAGTGTTGTGTGAAATCTTGGGAGGATTCCTCCAGAGCAGATTTTGGGGACAGTGGAGGAAGGATGGAGAAGCCTCATTGTCCTAGTGGACGCCTTCGTACTACAACCGATCTCTCCCAAAGTTTCCACCCACCTTGTATCACTGTGAAGTCTAGAAATTTGCTGGTGGAGAGAGAATCTCATGTTACTTGCAATGCAAAATGCAGACTGGTTTGTGGGATTATTTCAGCCACAGCCACTGCTCAGGACAAATTTGTTAGAAGGCTCCGTGTTTGAGCCCGGAAGTGTAAATTATTCCTATTTTATTGGAGTTACTTTCCTCCATGGATTGAAGATTTGTATTTTTAAACTACCTGCATGTTATCTTATACTTCAGCTGTGACATTTCCAGGATTGACTGCTAGCCAGTGCTTGATTTTCAACCGTCCCCCAATCAAGACAGGGAGCCTTAGAACTCCAGCACAAATGGAGTATATAGTGAAAGGGTTTAGTCCCAAATGCTGGCATTGTGGTCAGGAAAAAGGACTATATTCACACATGTGGTGGGAATGTAATCTGGTTAAGGAATATTGGCAAAAGATTATAAAGGTAATTTCTGATTATTTCAAATAAACATAGAAGTTAATAGGGATTTGTTATTTTCGGGAATACTGGGAAATAAAGTAATAAGCAAGAGTTGTACAAGATTATGATTTTAGCTGGAATGGCAGTTATTGCTTTGGGGATGGAAAGAAAAGGCCAAATGGAATATGGAAAAATGGAATGATTATGTTTTTGAATACGTACAATCAGAAATATTTGCACAGATAGTGGCAGAGGATAGATGGGCAAATAAATGCCAAAGAATCACAAATAAATGGGCATTTTACAGGACCTGGATAGAAAGAGGGGAAGCCAACCATAACATACAAGCTCGAATGAACAGACTGTGTATATTGATAAAGATATGAAGAAGGAAGGCCTGACCAGGGGCAGGGGGAGGGCTGGAGGGGGGGGGAGGAAGAAAAAAAAAGTAAACCGGATGGTATTTTGAATTGATTTTGTTATGTAAGCCTTTTTCAGAAACCATATATATTAATGTTAAGTAGTTATGCATTGTAGTATGAATGAATTTTGTTTTGTATTCTTTGTTTTATAGAATACATATAATAATGTTATGTTACTAAACAAATTTAATAAAACAGTAAAAGAAAAAAAAAAAGACAGGGAGCCTTAGTCTTCAACCATTAGTGGGGGTGAAGGGTGTCTACACAGATGGCGGCAAGGATGGAGTCACAGTGGCAAGCCATGCATTATTTCAAAGGCATTTTCCTTACACTTCCTGTATTGCAGTACTCAGGCCTGGTTCTAAAGCTGAGCCCTTGGTACAAATAAAGCACTGCTGAGATTCCTGATGTTACACAAGACTCAGTTGCCCTCAGAATTCAACTTGGCTGAATGTGTCATAGGCCGTTCCTACCCATTGAATGCTTCTTGCCTGCCTTGCCACAAAAATAGGCTGCTATTTGTGTGGTTCCAGAGAGGGATCTCATTACATGGTTTGAAGCAGGGGTGGTTAACCTTCTTCAGGCTGAGCCCACATGCCGTCAGTGGGTGTGGCCAAAAGTGCCCACACAGGGGCACAGCCCTCCTTCCCCAGCTGATCCTAAATAGCTGAGAGGAGGTTATTGCCCCCTCTCCACTCATTAAGCAACCAGCGAGGGAGTGATTTGAGCTCTGTTCCACCCATTTCAGTGCTGTGTGTATATAAATATGTGTATACGTAAATAAAATTTGGCACTGCCCAAAGTGACATCTAGGAGAGGGCAGGTGTCGGATCTGGCCTGAAATGGGGTTTAGGCACCCCTTGTAACACTCAAAAAATAAGTAAATAGAAAAATGATTGGAGCCCAGTTTTTCAATATGTCCAGTGTAAGAAGAGGAAATGAAAAAACCAAGAGCGATCAGGGTGTTGCTCTTCCTTCAGCTTCGAAACAGAATAAGCAATGTTAAAAGGAAGTTTAAGTAAAAGCTCCTGCGGCATCTGTTTTCACATGTACCTTGGTGAAAAGCTGCTAAAACCTCTGCAGGGATTATGGGAGGGATTATACAGGGTGAGTCTTTTAAAAGAGGCCCCGTGGAACATGTTTAGTCTGTATCCATGGGGCCTCTTTTAAAGGACTCACCCCGTAGAACCAGCCTTTGGAGGAGCTTGCGTATGTGAGTAGAAGGGGTGGAAAAGAGCAGTCACATTTGCATGGCAAGGAATGTGTCTCACTCAATTCCTGTAAACTTCCTTGGACCTTAGAAAACCCTAAACCTTTTAATATGCAGCATTTTCTACCATCTGTAAATAAACTTGAGTCAAGGAAGGCAACTGAGCCTCGTAGGAGCTGTTGATGGTTTGGTAAAATCCAGATATGGATGCTGGCCAGGCTAGTCTCCTCCCTGTTCCATTTAGAAGTAGTTCTTATTTTTAAAGAAATAGCATTTACACATCAGCCTTGTTTCTTGGCATGACTGTGTCAGTGCATTAAGTGAAAGGTCTACCTAGTCCATGGTTCTGTTTCCACAGTGGCCAACTGCATGCCTCTGAAAGTTCAGAAACAGGGATTTAAGGCCACAGTGATTTCTCTGTTGTGTCATTACCAGATGCTGGTATTCTGAAGTACACTGCCTCTGAATGCGGAGGTGTCATTTAGCGACATGGCTGAGAACCACCAACATGTCTGTCCTCCAGGCATTGGTCTAATTCATCTAAAATAGTGCCTTTCACTACAGATCAAGTATGGAACATAGCAAGTCGGTTCATCTAGCTCATAATTGTCTAACACTGAGTGACATCAGTCTTTCCCAGCCCTACCTGGAGATGCCACAGATTGCATCTGGGACCGTCTATAGGAGCTGTGTCACTGAGCCATGACTCCTGTATTAATTCCATATATAAATTATGTGTTAATGTGACATTTTAATAAGTGTTAAACGTGTGAGGTGCATCTAAGACTTAGCATCTGTACATGCATTTTCCTGGAAGGCAATACTTTATGCTCGGTAATTGTTTTTTAAAAAATCAATAAAGTTTGTAACAATAATAAAAAACACGTGGGGAGATATTTTGGGATAGTCTCAGCTGGGAAAGAAAGGATTAAGCCCACTCTAGATGCAATCCATCCTGCTGAAAATCTCTCTCCGCCCCCCATTCTGGATTTAGGCTTGGGAGAAAAGCATTTCTGATTGCAGTCTTAAGGAAGAGAGGATGCTGTGGGCTGGTTGACTGCAAAGTCCTCCTATTGGCTCCCAATAGGTTCTTTTCCAAGCCAAATTGTGATGTCTGTTTCAGGGGCTCCCTTGTATGAAAAACATCTTGCATGCACAGTATTAATATAGTCTACCTGATGTGCTAGTTCTTTTTACAGGAAGGAAAACGTTTAACCTGCTCCTTCACTATTTCTCTCTCTTTGAGCTGATAGCTAGATATACCGCTATAAAGGACCAGTCAGACAGAAATTTCCCTGGTGCAGCCTGACAGGAGTGGCATCTCATTCTCTCAATAGTGTGAGCTCAGATATTCTGGAGTGTGTGTCATGGCAGGCGGCATTTCATCAGATAGGCAGGTGCTACATCGACCTGCTTGGCAACTAGCTTTAGAGCAGGGGAGGCTGCAAGGCTGTTAGGCAGCCTTTTCCAACTGGTGCCCTCCAGGTGTTTTGGACAGTGACTTCCATCCTCCTTCCCCATTGGCTAATGTGAGCTGGAGTCCAAATAATCTGGAGGGTACCATGCTGGGAAAGGCTGCCATCAGGCATACCTTGTACTGAAGAACTTCTTCGTCCCGTTTTTGCTTAATGAGCAGGATCTGTTGCTCCAGGTTTTTGTTCTGCAGCAGTAACTTGCTGACCTCTCCCTGCAGTGGCCTCAGAGTTTCCTTTAATCTGTGAATCTCGCCCTGTGTCTTTTGCAAAGCCTTTCTGCTGGCTTCTCTCCTTTCTAAGAGGCGCATCAGCTTAGGCTCATACTGTTCTTCCAGGCCCTGACGGCTCTCCGCCACAAAGCTCTCAAACTCCATGGAAAGCCGCCTGCTTGCCTGCAGGTAGCAGCTGCTCCTCCGCCTCCTCGGAGCCTTCAGCTGTTCTCTCAACTGCTCCTTCTCTTTCTCACAAGTCTCTCTCAATTGGGATAGCTCCTCTGAAAGCTGGCTGACCCTGCTTTCCAGTTCTTCCCGGTAGACAGCAAACTGGGCCACGTCGTGCCTCCTGTTTTCCAGCTGGTACTGGCACGCCACACATTCCCGAGTCACCCTAAAAAGCTTCTGTTTCACTTGCCGAATTTCGTCCCGCAGACTGTCCCTTTCAAGTTCCACCTTGGCATGCAGCCTGTAGGCTTCGAGGATCTCTCCATGGGCTTGTCTGATTTCCTCAAGAGCTGGTTCCCGTAGGAGCATCAGTTCCCGAATAAGCTGGTCCCTCTCCCTCTCCAGCTCTTCCACTGCTTCAATGCACTCCTGAAAATGCTTTCCGAGATCCTCAATGCTTATGTCTTCTGCATCATAATATACTTCCTCGTCTTCCATGTCTTCCTGCAGCACCACTGGAGAGCCTGTGCTTTCTGTGTCTTGAAGGAATGGTATGTTGATAGGGTCCATATACAGCATCTCAGGGGTGTCTTCTCTATCAAGCTCTAAGAGTGCTCCTGGAACCCCAGCACCTAGCTCTGAGAAGGCTTCTGCGTTGTCTGAATCCAGAGCAGGCTCAGAGTCTGCCATCACTTCCCTGGAAATAAAAAGCAATCATGGAATCAGACCTACAAATGGCTGAATGACGGAGCTCATTGAGCATAGGTAGGCATTTGAGAAGAAGCAAATGCGCCATCCCTCAGCTGAGAATCCTGCAACTGCACAAAGCTTTGAAGAATTTGATGCTTTGTTACCAAGGCCAAGAAGTTAGATTCCTCCCCCAACTTCTCACCATATACCCCAGCTGTTCCCCTAGAACAATGTTTCTCAAAGTGTGGTACATGTACCCCCAGTGGTACACAAAAGGTTTTCAAAGGGTACATGGCATACATTTTTATTTTGCTTTTTACCATAGTTTTTTTTTAGCTGCAGAAAACAATTCATTAGAATTTAGTATGAGAATGGTGTGCTATATTAAAACTACCCCCAAATTATCTTTGCCCAAGAAGGGGTATGCTGGAAAGACTAAACTCTCAAAAGGGGTATGCAGTTATTGTAAATTTGGGCAGGTGTGGAGGATTCCCTGGTCCTGAATGGGGTAACTGTGCCCCTGAAGGACCAGGTGCGCAGCCTGGGAGTCATTTTGGACTCACAGCTGTCCATGGAGGCACAGGTCAAATCTGTGTCCAGGGCAGCTGTTTACCAGCTCCATCTGGTACGTAGGCTGAGACCCTATCTGCCTGCGGACTGCCTCGCCAGAGTAGTACATGCTCTGGTTATCTCCCGCTTGGACTACTGCAATGCGCTCTACGTGGGGCCACCTTTGAAGGTGACCCGGAAACTACAACTAATCCAGAATGCGGCAGCTAGACTGGTGACTGGGAGCGGCCGCCAAGACCATATAACACCGGTCTTGAAAGACCTACATTGGCTCCCAGTACGTTTCCGAGCACAATTCAAAGTGTTGGTGCTGACCTTTAAAGCCCTAAACAGCCTCGGTCCAGTATATCTGAAGGAGCGTCTGCACCCCCATCGTTCAGCCTGAGGTCCAGCACCGAGGGCCTTCTGGCGGTTCCCTCACTGCGAGAAGCCAAGTTACAGGGAACCAGGCAGAGGGCCTTCTCGGTAGTGGCGCCCTCCCTGTGGAATGCCCTCCCTCCAGAGGTCAAAGAGAACAACAACTACCAGATTTTTAGAAGACATCTGAAGGCAGCCCTGTTTAGGGAAGCTTTTAATGTTTGATGTATTACAGTATTTTAATATATATATTTTTTGAAGCCGCCCAGAGTGGCTGGGGAAGCCCAGCCAGATGGGCTGGGTATAAATAATAAATTATTATTATTATTACGTACTATTATTATAACCCATAATTCTCTTGGTGCATCAGGGGAAAAAATCCAGGCACAACAGTTATCTAATAAAAATATCAGAACCATTAAAAAAATCACAAAGGCTTTTAAAATGTGCTCTTAATGAAGTAGTATACCATTGTTGTTCCTGTAACAATTCTACATGTTTAGAGACAACTTGTAACCTTGTTGAACAAGCCTCTATATGCTGAGTTGAATGTGGTAAACTAGGTATGGCTGAATAAATTTTGGAATCAAAATCTGCTTTCTACCTTGGCAGTAAAAATATGACAATAATTTAAAAATTGTCAAGTCTTCTGCTCATTAATGATACTCCGGATCTGCTACCCAATGGGATCACCTTACTCTCCTTAGTGAAAGCTTAACTCTAACTCCATGGGTTTTAATGAATTTAAACCTGCTTAAATTTAAACTGTGTTGCAATGTGTTTGTTTAACATATGTATCTGTGATGCTGCATATGTTACTTCCTTCAAGTTCTCCTCAAAACTCAGCTTTTCCACGAAGCTTTGGTCACCCCTTCCTTGCCTCCCATGCCATACTGTAACTAAGGCTAAGTAAATACACCTGCCATCATTCTTCCCCCAACCCGCCTCCATTTCCCTCACCTTCTTTCTATTGCATCGTTTTCTAGACTGTAACCAGCATGGGGCAGAGACTTATTCTCTTACTCTTTATAAAGTGCCATGTATATGTATAAAAAGATAGACACAAATATGGGTATAAAATATAAATAACAAGTAATCGCTTGTTCTAAGAGAAGATTGGGGGTAGGGGAACCCTGACAGAAATACACTGACCAGAACAGCTATATTAAGTGAATAAATAAATATACTTTGAGCATGTGTTGTATTGCGTTTTGACAAATGGAGAGCAAATGAGCTAGAGGTGGGGTTTTTTTTTGTTTTGCTTTTTTTGTTTTGTTTTTTGCCAGGCTACTTAAGTACCAAGGGGTCAGTTGGAGGGGAATCTATGCTGCTTTAAGTCATTGATTACTGAAAAGAGGGCAGCTTTTTTTATTTTAATTGAAAATGCTGATGCAGCCTCAGATGTACAGAACAGAGTGCCCAAATGAGCTTGCATGCACGCTCTGCAAGATGGCTGAGGATGGATCAAAATATCACAGCAGGCAAGGGATATTATTGAGGGCCCTGGTTTCCAAGCAAGCAAGCAAGCGTTGTAGAGTAGAGTCATCCCCTGAAGGAAGAGGGTGTGTGCAGCAGCTGTCCACAGATGAAAGACCTCTTCACAAGATAAGGCTTGGGTGAATGTGCACTGTGTCTAAATGGCAGAGAAGGAGGTGTTTAATCTGCTGTCCTTAAGAATGTGGAGCACCTGAACAACTTAAAGAGGTAAATGTTCTGAAATAGAATCAGCTGTAGTGAAATACACGATAGGGGTGGGGCTGAACCAATGTGAGCAGCACATTGAAGGGTCAGTTGGGTAACATGCACTTTAACAAGGGGAGCAGGGAAACTTCCATGGAATATTTGATGGGAGAGCACCTGCAGGCTGGCCCTGCCATCAGGATGTCAGAGGAGGAGACAAAGGACACATCCCAGGAGCACTAGCCCCCTGCCCTCCAGAGGCCCATTGACATTTCAGTAAGGTTGGTACAGGAGAGCTTCATGACAGATGGTACCCTACCCCCTGTTAAGTTGTTGGGGAAGGGAGTGCCATTTGCATGTTCTACTTCAGCTCTGAGCACCACTGGAGATTATTTTCAGAGATAAACCTTCTCTTTTCCCAAATAAGGCATTTTCCCACCCTTGTGAAAACAGCAAAGTGAAGCAGCCTTCACTTCCATGCTTGCTATTTCTTAGTAGTTGGATACAGAAAGCTTAGGTGAGGACTGGTGCAAAGCTCTTTGGTTTCAACTTCTGAATTAGGACCGGAATCTGTCACCAATCATCTATCTAGCAGCAGGACGATTCCTTCCTTGTGAAGATTTTTTCACAGGCAAATGGTCTCGCTTTCCACCCAGGCAGATTCAGACAGTCCCTGCTTCTCCCCCCTCCTCTCTGTAGCAGGATTAATCCAGGCTGATATTTCTTACTTGGGCAAAGAAAAGAAACGTACAAAGCCAGGGAAGACAGCCTCTTTCTCAGTGGTCCAGCAGCGGGTGAAGGCACTGTACCTTTCTTCCTTTTTCCAGTCAGGCCTGCGCTGGCCACAAATGGTCTGGCAGGCAACCCAACTGAGCCCACCCTTAATAAACCTGATGCTTTCGAATCTGAATTATTCTCCAACCACACCCCGTTTCCAAAACCGTTAGGTTGCTCCCCTCTCCCCCTTAAATGAGCCTAGTCCTTTTTAGCTGGGAGCATCTCCTTTCCAGCTACTAGAACAGAAAAGAGAGCCCACGCTCACCAATGAATGGTAGCAATTTAGCTCTTCTTACCTTTCTCTCTAGGAACCAAGTTCCTTGTGCCCCCGGCCGGACAGGGTTTTGGCATGGGGTGGGTGTGAGGTTATTAATAAACAGTGCAAGAAACCGGAGCCCCCGGGGCCACCCCCACCTCAGTCTCTCTGGAAACGGCTGTGCAATTCTAGTGGAAAGGCTGACACCAGATCCCTGCCTACGGAGTGGGGGGGGTGGGGGAGGAGGCGGGGAAGAGGAGGCGGCCGGCTGGCAGGCCTCTCCACTCGCCTCCCAGTGCCAGAGGCAGAGTGGTTGGCGCTTGGCTCTGTCTGAACTTTCAGCAGCGGCAAGAGGAAGGCTGCGTTGGGAGGGGCTAGGAAGGAGCAAGCCTCTTTAACCCTCTCTAGTTCCATCAACCCCCCCCCCTTTGCATGTATGTTGGCAGCCACATGTGCATGCCAAGGGTCATGGACGTGTGCTTTCCAGTACTCGCTCCTGTTATGTTCCCAAGGTGTGGTGGGCGGGAAGTCTAAATGTCTGGTTTTGTGATGGGAGAGGGAGAGGGGGAGAGGAGGAAAGGATGAGACCAGAGTAGTAATGGGTGGGTGTTAGGAAATGCATAGCCTTGCTGCACAATCTTTTGTATGGCAGCTCAGTCCCACTACGCTCTGTAGGGCTGCTTCTTAGGTAGGCATGTACAGTGGTACCTCGGGTTACAGATGCTTCAGGTTACAGATGCTTCAGGTTACAGACTCTGCTAACCCAGAAATAGTACCTCGGGTTAAGAACTTTGCTTCAGGATGAGAACAGAAATTGTGCGGTGGCAGCGGGAGGCCCCATTAGCTAAAGTGGTACCTCAGGTTAAGAACAGTTTCATGTTAAGAACGGACCTCCAGAACGAATTAAGTTCTTAGAATCATAGAAACATAGAATCATAGAGTTGGAATAGACCACAAGGGCCATCGAGTCCAACCCCCTGCCAAGCAGGAAACACCATCAGAGCACTCCTGACATATGGTTGTCAAGCCTCTGCTTAAAGACCTCCAAAGAAGGAGACTCCTCTTAACCAGAGGTACCACTGTAATAGGATTGCAGGTTAAGAATGAACTTTAATTGGGCAAATATGACTAAGGTAGCAAGCTCTAAAGGGTGGCTGGCAAAATATGAGGGGTTTGAAGAAGCAGAAGGCATCACAGAGGAGTGGCAGGGGAACAGTCCTAGTATTACTGTACATTAATATGGCATCATCCCTGCAAAAGGCATTTGGCCTTATGTAGCTCCCCCAAGCCCTACTTGCTAACTGAGCTCTTCCTGCCTGGAGGACAATTGTCCAGGCAGCAAAATGCATCATTCAACACCCACGGGCAATAAGCCCACCCTGCTGCTGCTCAGTCCTCCTCACTCAGCTTTCTTCAGCTTCCTTGTCCAGGGATAAGGTTACTCGCCCTGGCTTGCTCCCTTCTTGGCTTTGAATTTCAGGTCAGAAGTGCAGTTGCACTGCGAACCCATGCCTCTCTTGGCTAACTACACAAAGCATATTTAAGAGGAATAAAGGGTTATTTTTTAAAATAATAATAAAACACCGAGTAGTGCAAGCCACATGTCTCTCCCCTCTATTTGTGGAGGCGTTTGACTCAATAGCGTAGGAATGCTGTTAACTTGAACAATGTTTCGTGTGTGTATAAATACCCACCTAAATCTATCTAACGTTAAAACTGCCAGCAAGGTTACCAGTGAGGGTCAGCTGGGCTGGTAGAAAAGAGCCTTCTATGGCATAAAAATAACAAAAAAGGAGTCAACTTGTGAAATGGCAAGCCCAGACACCTCTTTCTAGTTTATCCTAGAAATAACCTGTTTGGGGAAGGGGAGCAGAGGGACATGGGAACTGTTGTGGGCTGCAATCAGATGCCTTGAGTTAGCCCTGCTGCTCTCTGTTTGTGGACATAGCTAGGCAACCAGATGGTGGTGTGTCATCTGCAGGGGAAGGGGGTAAGCAAGATGATAAAGCCTGAGGCGATGACCATTTCCAAGGACAATGCAACTTATGGCAGATTCAGAATGTGCTGTGCTCCAGAAGCAGAGATAGCCCTGTCCTAGGGGAAAATGTAGTGGTAAATTTTGGACAGCAGAGTGGGGTTTAGGTGAATTGGGGCAGGAAGGGAAGTACTTAGAAAATGAGTTTAGTGGCAACCCTACCCGCTAGGGGACTAGGTAATATCAGTAATTTGAATAGGCAATTCTCCTTCAGACCCTAGTTTAAACAGTCTTCATTAAATTTTCTGTAGTATTTCCCCACTAAGCCACATTTAAAGGAACAGCCCTATAATACACTTTTGTACCTAGCCAGTATATAGGAGTTTGGTGCACTAACTTTTTGCCCAATTTGAGCCTTCATGAGTTCAGAATGACTGGAAGAGATCTGCAATGTACTGAAATAATTTGTGAGCGCATCATGGAAAAGATGCAAATTAGATAGCACAAAATGTAGATAGAATGAATCTTGTTACTCAGGTTCTACTTAAGCAAGAAAAATTAGCTCCCAGAGCCCTGATATTTGATCTACTAGTGCATGGTCTGGTTGTTGCATACTTTCAAAGAGCTGGATAAATGGATAAAACTTTGGTGTATAACAGACAGTTCCTACATCAAATTTTTATCAATCTATCCTGCTCTTTGAAAGTATGCAACAATCAGACCATGCACTATTAGGACGGAATAGATTTTATCACCCACCCACTGACATTTTCTATCAGTGACAACACTCACAGTACCTTTCTGCTCTGTGTGTGATGTGTTTTGCTTCGTGTGAACTAGCCAAAGTCAGTGCATAGATGTTTAAGAATTCTTTAATACTGACAACTGCACATTCCTTCACAGGAAAGCCATATTTTCCTTATTTGGCAGCATTAAAGAAAATCTGCATGCACATAGCTAATGAAAACAAAATTATCATGTATAACTATCTAACAGGGTAGGAATCAATGCTTTCAGTGAGGATAAGTTATATGGAAGCAAAGTTGTAAACAAACAAACAAGGTACAGCCAATATAACACCCACCACTATAAAGTAACACATTAGTTTAACTACACACATTGCAGAGAGAAAGGAATGTTGCTACAACAAGCCAATTTGAAATGGAGAGCAGAGGAATAAAAATCCACAGAGCTAAAACGGTGCAAAATCATAACATTGTTTTAGAAAACTGGGTATGTAAAAAGGCATCTGCTTGGTGCTGGAATGATATTAAAGTAGCCTTTTTGGGATGGTGTTCCACAATTAAGGGATGACTGCTGAAAAGTTCCTCACCTGGTTGTATTTCACCTGGCATCAACACACAAAGGAGCCCCAGGTGATGATCTCAGGGTCCAGGAGCATGTGAGATGAGGCAATACTTCAGGTACCAAGGACACAGGCCATGAATAGCTTCAACAGTCAAAACCAGCAGTTTAAATTGAGCCTGGAGATTGACTAGGAGTCAGTGAAGGTGATAAGCATAATATTTCCATAACAACCTGCCCAGTCCTCATTAGCACCCAGGCAGCGATAATTTCTACCAACTAAAGTTCCTGGGTTGTTTTCAAAAGTAGCCCCACATACAACAACAGGAAATTATCAGGGCATGAAGCCGCATTCGGTCCAGGTAGGGCTGTAGCTGGTGCGGCAGTCTAAGGCTCTGGGTACCCCAAGCCTCAGAGGCCACATGCCCCTAATGGCAAAGGTGGATTGACAAGCACCCCAAAGCTTCAGACCTGTCATTTTAGGGCAGAGCTGGGGGACAGCTTGTGGCCCTCCAGATGTTGGGTTACAACACCTGTTATCCCATATCATTGGCCATGCTGGGTGACAGCAACACTTTAACAGTCATTGGTACAATTAATGAACAGCCTAGCTGGAATGCAATGACCTCATTCACATGTAACATTAAGCCAAACTATGGCTTAGTACAAATCAGCAAATGTGTGTGCTCCTGAAAACGATACCATGGCCACGTTGTTCCTCCTTCTAGTGAATCTGCTGCTTGCATTGCACTGACCTAAGTTGTGGTTTCATAGAATTGTAGTCTTGGAAGGGACTCCGATGGTCATCTAGTCCAACCCCTGCCATGCAGGAATCTCAGCTAAAGCATCCATGACAGCCAGCCATCCTCTGCTTTAAAACCTGCAGTGAAGGAGATTCCACTGTTCTACTGTCAAACAGCTCTTACTGTCAGAAAGTTCTTCCTAACATTTAGTTGGAATCTCATTTCTTGTCATTTGAATCCATTGGTTCAGACCTGGCCCTCTGGAGCAGCAGGAAACAAGCTTGCTCCTTCTTCCCTGTGACAGCCCTTTAGATATTTGAAGATGGCTATCACACCTCTTCTCAGGTTCCTGCAAAATACTGACAGTCTGAAGGGGCTGAGGGAGAGAGAGGTGGTGCCATGGGGAGTTGCAGGTACAGTGGACGCTCGTGTTGCGAACGTGATCCGTGTGGGAGGCATGTTCGCAACCCACAGCACTGCGTCTGCGCATGCACGGGTTGCGATTTGGCACTTCTGCGCATGCGCAACCTGAAGCGTCTGTAACCCGAGGTATGACTGTATAAGGAAGAGTCTTAAACTGCACTCCTTTATCCAAATTTCCAATTATCTAGTCAGCAACTCTTTCGGAGAATGGCCTATAATATCCTTTTCTCAGGTGACCAGCCACTTAAGCACATTTGGCACAAATGAGGTTTTCTTCCACCTCCTCCACACCCTTTCCTCAAGGCCAGCAGAAGCATTCATTCTGTTGGTTGTTCTGCACCTCTTCCCTGTATCTCCCTTCTTCTTCCTTCTCCTCCTTCCATCATCAGCCAACTGCATTTTCAGCCTTCCAAGTCATTAAGCAAAATCGATTTGTATTTAGCAATCTCTGTGGCTCGCTGCTAGCTAGAGACTCCCCACCTCCAGCTCCTCCTAAACAAGGAGGTTTGTGTGCAAACCACACTCCATTGGCAAATCAAGATCTGCTGATTTAATTGCTTCATTTTCTTCAGACTGACTTCCACAACCATTAAAAAGAGAGAACACAAAGCTTGCCTCTTTCTGTCCAAATCCTTGCTCTTTTGTCTTTTGTCTTGTTCTCTCTCTCTCTCTCTCTCTCTCTCTCTCTCTCTCTCTCCCTTCTCCCATATCGCCTGCCAAAATAAGGCAGAATCACACACACATTTACAGTATAGTGGAGAAGTTAGTCTGCAGTCTCCATCTTCGAACTTCATGGCAATAACATCCAACCTTCTTGTTGTGGTTGTTGTAG